GCGAAGCTTCTGACGTCAGGCTTCAGGTGAAGCGCGAAGCTCGCGAAGCTTCAGACTTCAGACTTCAAGCGAAGCTCGCGAAGCTCCCGAGCTTCAGACTTCAAGCTTCAGGCGAAGCGCGAAGCTCGCGAAGCTTCAGACGTCAGGCTTCAGGTGAAGCGCGAAGCTCGCGAAGCTTCAGACTTCAACCTTCAGGCGAAGCGCGAAGCTCGCGAAGCTTCAGACTTCAGGCTTCACACGAAGCGCGAAGCTCGAGAAGCTTCAGAGCTTCAGGCTCCAAGGAAGCTTCAAAAGCTTCAAAAGCTTCACAAGCTTCACAAGCTTCAAAAGCTTCAGGCGAAGCTCGTGAAGACAACAAGCTTCAGAGCTTCAAAAGTTTCACATTGAAACGCGAACCAAACAGAGCGCTCCCTCCATCTTCCCTTTGTGGAGTTATAAGAGAATCAAACCCTAAGTCCTCAACCCTGTTTTATTATCCTATTTGCTTCAAAGAAGCCCAAAAAGTTTTAAGAAAGGAGTTGTCCTTGGAAGGGCAAAAATGTAGGCATCAGAATTCTGTTGAAGTCTTGTGGCTTCTGAAGCAAATAGTCGTGTAGTTGCACCAATGACATGTCAGCAAGCCTCAGGGTTGCTCTTGTCTCTGTGCAACCCGTCCCTTCATGTATATCCACTGCTAGGTTTGGGTTGGGGTTTAGGGTTTCGGGTTTCGGGTTTAGGGTCAGGCTCAATCCTTTCTTCTGCCATGTACGCAAACCGAAAGTTGAGTGCCATGAATGCTGAGCAAAGCGAAGGGTTCTTGCGAATGCAACCCTGGGCGGTGGGATGTGCGAGCAGAACCTACCAATCGCCTGCAACTTTGCAGAGAGCGAGGTGAGATGGCGGCAGCCACCATGGACATCATGTGCAAGGACGCTGTAAGCCTTAAGAATGTTGCTTGCTTTGGCGCAGGGTTCATGCTTTTGAAAGTTTCGTTTCCGAAAAAAGCGGGCAGAGCCATCGACCATCGAGGCCAGCCCTTGCAAATACTAGAAAAAACTGTTGCATTCACTTGGTGCATGCCGGGCCCCATGTTTTGCATGTCGTTCGCGCCAGCAGAAGAGTGGCCAATGATTCTCAAAGGTCCTTACCTACAGGCCCTATGGGGATATGTTGTCTGACAATGTTGGGGATGAGATCCCATGCAAGAGAGGCAAAGAGGCACCATAATATACATACATATATGTGTATATATATATATTGTCTATATTGTATAGTATAAAAGTCGTAGTAATACCAATAGTATATAGCTCAGCACACGAAGCGGCGCAGGAGAGGTTCGTGGACAGCAAGGGCGACATCTGCGAATCTGACAAAAAGACGCAGCGAGAGTGGGGAATGTGGTTGTCGCCTCTCTTGGCCACGGCAGAAATGCCAGATAAATCCTCAATCCTAAAACCCTAAGCTCTCAACCCTCTAAAACGCGTGTATTCCCTGCAGTGCGTCTTACCGTCAGCTAGGCGGGTGGCAAAAAAGACTCCTAATGTTCTCCCTAGCTGAGGGGGACCCTCAAAAGGAACCCTTCTTAACCTTCTTCTGGCTCTCTTAAACAGGGACCTTAGTCAGAGGTCTATGTCCCCAAGGGTCCCCCGAATCCTATCCCTTAACCTTGGGGGCGACCCTTCGATCAACGAGGGATCGAGCTTAACAGGTGGGGTTTAGGGTTTAGGGTTTAGGGTCTAGGGTCTAGGGTTTAGGGTTTTGGGTTTTGGGTTTTGGGCTAGGGGTTTAGGGTTCAGGGTGCAAAGGCCCAAGTGCCTAGGGATCGAGCTTGACAGGTAGGGTTTAGGTTTAGGGTCTAGGGTCTAGGGTCTAGGGTTTAGGGTTTAGGGTTTAGGGGTTAGGGGTTTAGGGTTTAGGGTGCAAAGGCCCAAGTGCCTTGTCTCGCATGTCCGCTCATCGGGGTTCTAAGCCTCACATGCAATGAGGCACAGCCTGAAGTTGAAAATCTAGAACGGAGGACCTAAACTCCTCTGAGTGTTCGCTGACGAGGTTGCCCCACAGTTCTACGGGGACTGCTCACAGGAAGACTTTCAGGCATCCGCGGTTTATTCCTCGGGGCAAAGGCTTCTATATAAACACACACAATAAAGCAATCATATAGTAAAAGAAATATCGGAACAAGAACACACGTATGTCATAGTATAATAAGTCGAACTGTAATAACCGAATGTTGCAGGACATCAGAGTGATATATCGACGGCAACCCTTCACGTTGTAGCTTCCCGATTTGCCAGAGCACCCTGCATCATGGTGACAAAACGCAATGAGGAAGCTTTGGCATCTTCGAACGCGGGCCGGTCAACATAAATATTAATATTACTTTTTCTTAATCTCATATGTTAAAGATTTAGGCCGCCCCAAGAACCTCAAAGAAACCCACAAACCAGATTTCCGTGCAGGTCTTCAAAAACCGGGCGGCGGCCTGGTACGAAAAACGCCTCGCCAGCCTTCAGCTTTTCCATGACTGTGCGGGGAGGGAGCTCTCGTTGTTTAGGTTGAGGATGCTTTTTGAAGGGATCATCAAGCTGATTTTTGCTGAAGGCTTCTGAGGTGAAGGGAAAGGGATAACGGTGGAGGATTTTGAGATTGTAAGCTTTTGGCCAGCAAGAGTAGGATATATCAGCACACCACCCTCAGATAGCTTTCGCGGTGTCTTTTTCATGCAGTAGCCCTAAACCCTAAACCCCAAACCCTAGGCGGGTGGCAAAACAACAAAAAGAAACCTAAACCCTAAACCCCAAACCCCAAACCCTACCAAGCGGCAGGACATGACGCTCTTGATCAACAACTTTGAGACCGCGTACATGAACTGCCCAGCCGCTGCTTTGCTGGCGGTGGCCCAGCTGCCAAAAACGGTTCAGAAACTCGCGGAACTCAATGTAAGAATACAGAAGACTGGAATAATGTAGTGGCAACAACTGTGTGGAACTATAATAACTAGAATACATACCATACTACAATAATGCTATAATGCTTTTGTACTACAATGCTAGATAGTACTAGAACACTATAAGATCCATAAGAAGATCATGCTAACCCCACGAGGCCTGCGCCTTGAGGCCCGAGCTCCCAACAAGGGTCGAAGGCTCAACCCAAACCTTACCCTAAACCCTAAACCCTAAACCCTAAACCCTAAACCCTAAACCCTAAACCCTAAACCCTAAACCCTAAACCCTAAACCCTAAACCCTAAACCCTAGCCCACTGGGGCAGCCAAGGTTCTGCTCAAGCTCGAAAGCGCCTACTTCGAGGAGGCCGAGAAGTGGGACACGCTGCTGGAGAGCCTAAGCTGGCACATAGTAGAATACTCGGGTTTGGGATTTAGGGTTTAGGGTTTAGGGTTTAGGGTTTAGGGCTATAGACACTATAGGACTACAATAGTAGAATACTATCTTGTTACGATAACAAGCAGCAGCCCTAAGTGAAGTCACACGGTATCCCATTGCGGTTCGTGCGAATGCGAATTAACGCCGAGGATTTACATCAGCACGCTGAACCGGGCCATGGCAGAAGGACGTGTGACTGCAAGCCCTGTAGGGTTTAGGGTTAAGGGCTACTTGGAGGTTCATGGGTAGTTATAAGTGGGGTTATAAGTACCCTAAATGAGGTTGTAAGTATAGTTTCCCGACTTATCACCCTACTTCTAACTACCCATGAACCTTCGAGTAGGATCAAGGCAATCGATTGGGTCGATCAAGCACAGAGTTTGAGCACCGAGCCGGAGACCACTTTAATGGACCCACGCAGACTTTGGCCCACTTTTGTTCAGTATGTGCAGAAACTGTCTTCTCTCATCTGCCTGCGAACACGTGCAAGCTCAGGCTTGGAGGTTTGGAAGCCTTCCGAAGCCTGCTGCCCATAGGTGAGGGAAACTCCCATGGCAGCCCCAAACCCTACAACCACCCTGAACCCCAAACTCCAAGCCCTAAACCCTAAGCCCTAAACCCCAAACCATTCCTTGATCCCGGGATGCCCCGTAGTTCCCTTAGTAATAAATGTTGCTGGGGAGCCCAGGGTAGAGGAATGGCCCTGAGGCCGGATTTTATTTAAGCTCGGAAAATGTCTAGGGCGGGGGGGGGGGGGGGGGGGTGTTGAGGGTTATGGTGTAGGGGTTTTGTATATACACGTGATTTTATAGTATAAGATAGTAGACGGTACTATAACAGCATGAAACACCAGTACATGCTCTTTTTTGTTCTCTCTCTCTCTCTCTTTCTCTTTCTCTCTCTTTGTACAGTCATGATCTTTTATAGCGGGGTTTAGGGATTTTAGGGTTTAGGGTTTGTAGGGTTTACCGCCGCCCGTGAACTTGGCTCACCAGCTTGCTCGGATCTGCTATCTGACCGGAAGTTTCGCCGCTGACGCCATCGAGAGGCGCTTTGGTTCGAAGGCTCTTGGGGAGGGGGGGATGTAACCCAAGATTCCCTGATGCTCCCGAAGGCTCCCTAAGCCAAAGGTTTCCTAAGTACCGAGCCCCCATGAACCCCCCTGCCTTCAAGACCCTAGAATTTGAGCCCAGAGAAGCCGTGGGGAAATTGAGGAAGAAAGGGCGGCAGGCGTGGAGCTCTGTGTTGGGTCAAGGAGGCCTTAAACTTGCAAGTGCCATCAGTCCCTAGGGGTCCATGTACCTCGTAATTATATGCTTGTGCCCAAAAGTCCCGATATAGGCGGTACTTAAAGGCCCAAGTATTCCCTATTTAGGTACATGGACCCTTAGGGAGTTTGCTTCAGTCCAGTCGTAATCCAAGGGAGGCGTAGGTAGCTGCAGTTTGGTCGAAATTGTTAAGTCAATTTTTTCCGCTACTAAGCCTCTCTCTGTCCGGGCTGCTTGATGGGCGGCGTTCATTTGGGGAAGCATGGTGCCATAAAAAGTTGATGTGACTTCGACGTTTCTGTGTAAGGGGGACCTAGGGGGGGTGGTATAGAGGGGGGTAGCAGGGAAACCACGATTAAGGCAAGGCAATGGCCCGCTCGCTTGTGGTCCTGGCAGTGGCATTGGCTACCAGCCGCCTTGCTTCCACGTTTAGGTTTTAGGGTTTAGGGTTTAGGGTTTAGGGTTTAGGGTTGAACTGTTTTTGGGTTTGCCAAAGGAATAAGTTTCTGAGTTGATGATAGCGGGGTGCACGCCCCCACGAATGTGATGGGATTCTCGACGAAGATCAGCGCAGTTTTGGGCGTTGGGTGAGGGCATCCGGTTTGAGGGCACGGAGGAGGAGGCAAAGACACGCCGAAAAACCCGAAAATCACAAAACCTTACCCTCAAATTGCCACGGCCCGAAAACCTCCCCTAAGCCCCAAAAACCCCAAAAACCAAGATCCTTAAAACTCCTAAGCCCTCTAGAAAGCCATGAACCCTAAAGATGCTACGCCGAGGCTTCCTCCTGCCTCATTAAGGGATTATATAGGATTATATAGGATTATAATATTATATAGGATTATATAGGATTATGTAGGATTATATAGGATTCAGGATTATATAGGATTATATAGGATTATATAGGGCACCTCATTCCCCCCCATTTCCCTACAAACCAACAGAAAGAAGATGCGAAGCCGAGGCTTCCTCTTGCATCCCCCCTCTATGCTGCCCCGCCCCCCGGAAAAAGAAAAACGCCCCCCCCCCAGGTTCCCCCCTTAAAGAACCTTTTAGGGTTTAGGGTTTAGGGTTTAGGGTTTAGGGTTTATGGGGGGTAGTAGGAGAAGCCATGAGAAGCCGAGGCTTCCTCCTGCCTCTGAACTTCGTGTTTCCCGTGACGCCCCGCTTCGCGCCGTCGATCTCGCACGTGGCCTTACAGGAGAAGGCTGGGCCCCAGTGACTTGAAGGTTCATGGGTAGGCATAAGTAGGGTTTAGGGTTTTTAAGTGCCCTGAAAATATTGGAATTAACCAATTATAATTGTCGTTTCCCCACTTATAACCCCACATATGACCACCCATACTGCGCCCGTGACTCCCAAGCCCTACAAATTGGTAGGATTTAAGCCCTGAAAGATAAGGCACACGCCGAAATAATGAGTACCCTACTATAAGGTTGTAACTAGAGTTATCCTGCTTATAACCCTACTTACCCGTGAACCTCCAAGCATGATTATGAACTCCCTCCAAGCTTTCTTTCGACATCCTACAATAACGGCAGGTTTTGGGTTCAAGAGGTCGGCTTTAGATGCAAAGCGCTACCCTAAACCCTAAACCCTAAACCCTAAACCCTAAACCCTAAACCCTATAGTCACCTGCGCCGGCGGCTTCTTCAGGCCAACGAGAAGCAAGGGCCCCAGGACTGTGGCAGCTACACGTATTCGGCTTGGAGTTTGGCGCACCCTAAAACCCCTATACCCTGAACCCTAAACCCTAAACCCTAAACCCTAAACCCTAAACCCTAAACCCTAAACTCTAAACCCGACCCCTGGCACAAAAAACCCTACTCCTCTGTGCTTTGCAGCGTGTGCAGGGCAGAGTTCAGGAAGGGCCTCTGTCCATCGAAGCACAGTCCGCTGGCAAAGCTGCACTTGGAGGTTCATGGTACTTCTTCACCAATTGCAACTGTACTTATTACCATATTAGGGCACTCAAGGGGCTTATAAGTGGGTTCTAAGTACAGTTATCATTGGTTAACAGGTACGATGAACCTCCAAGCATGTGTCTTCATTCTAGATCAGTGCTGAACTCAAGACCTCTGCTTCAGAACTTTCCCCAAATCATGCGGGCTTAGGGTTTAGGGTTTAGGGTATAGGGTTCAGTGTTTAGGGTTTGGGGTTTAGGGTTTAGGGTTTAGGGCAAGATGGCAGGACTTCTCCGTCGCTCCCGTTCCGGCCGCGTTCATCGCCATGCTGGCCGGGCTCATTCTTGGACTCTTCGCCATGCCGCAGGAGCCGCCTAAAAGCGGCTGGAAGCCCAAGAGACGTGCAGAGCGGGTTTAGGGTTTAGGGTTTAGGGTTTAGGGTCAGATCATTAGAATGTTATTGTTAAATTGCTTCCACGAATTATAGGGTTGTATAGGTTATATTCGTACTTTATTTAGAATTATAGCTTGTAACAAATGTTTTGCACTTTGTCCCTTACTAGCTGCCCCTGATCATCCGAATCCATCATGGGGCGAGCCGGGACAGAGACAAAGAGAGAGATGCCCAGCAGAAGAAGAGGAGATAACAAGAGATAGAGCGCAGGCCCTTTGGAAGACGAGGCAAGGAAAGAGCAACATACATTCTCGTCATGACCTCTTTGCTTCCGAGATAGCAAAGAGAGAGCCTGAAAGGGGAAGCCCCAATCGCCCCGCTTGTGCAGGACGTTGAGGCAGGAACTGGCAAGCTGCGACCCTACTTCCAGGTGGCACCTCCTTCCAGCTGCAACAGTTGAAGGTTACTTGAATAGTTAGAGAGAAGTAGGGTTATAAGCAACCCTGAAGAAGGTTATGACTAAGGTTAATTATCCTAGTTAGAAGTAGGGTTATAAGAAACCCTTAAGAAGGTTATGACTAGGGTTCTCCTACTTATGACCCTGCGCGTAGCTAGCCATGAACCTCCAAGTAAGCAATCCGGGGTGCCCACTGCCCGTAAACAGGGAGTTTCACCATCAACTAACGATGAGGGCATTTTCTGTTCCTTCATTGCTCGGAATTCCGGTAATTTCAAAAACCCTGTGGACAGTTGGAGCGGCCAGCCTACATGCAGGGCATCGATGCCGCAAACGCCGCCTGGAGGCCTTCTGAGTCCGACACCAGAGTTCACACCGCCGCGTAGCAGCCTCAAAAACCCTCAACACTTAAAGACATGGAGCCCTAAACGTCTTCAAGCCGGGAGGCCTCATCACCCAAGCCCCTAGCACTGGCAGTTCCTCTGCATTGAGGGAGCCTATCATCTTCCCATCAGGGTGGATGTCGAAATGCCCCAGCATTCCTCATCGTCAGCACGAAGAACCGCGAACAGAAAGACATTGCGAATGACATGTCGGTGAAAAGCTTATGCAACCTTGGGTGTTTGCGCCGTGTGGCGTTGGATTCGCAAGCATGCTGAGTGGGTTTAGGGTTTAGGGTTTAGGGTTTAGGGTTTAGGGTTTAGGGTTTAGGGTTTAGGGTTTAGGGTTTAGGGTTTAGGGTTTAGGGTTTAGTAGGGTAATTATAGTCATTATCGGTTAGAACCTTACTTAGGGTACTTAGCTCCCTACTTCCAGCTACCCATGAACCTTCAAGTATAGCGACTCCGGGTGCCGGTCTCCAAGTGCGACTTTCGGGTCTTGTCAAGAAAAGTTACCTTCTTGGGTTTAGGGTTTAGGGTTGAGGGTTTCGGGTTTAGGGTTTAGGGTTTCGGGTTTAGGGTTTAGGGTTTAGGGATTTCAAGACAGATAAAAAGGGCAGCGCCCTGTGTCCAGGAGCTTATTACGTGGACACATGACACGTCCGCCATGCGACTCTGAAGGGCCGCCTTTGGAGCCTGCAATTGTTTTCACAGCTCACCTAGTCATAAAAAATGCAGGAGTAGAATGATAGAAGCATATATAATATAGCAATAGATAACAATATGAATAGTGAGGATCGTTGTTAGCACTTTGTCTGTCTGCAGGAGGTAGTTATGAGTTTCTGTCGCGTTTGCCAACGCTTGTCTCGCCATCCCGGCATATGGCCCCCCGCAGCTTGCGCTCTCCAGTGAATCTAAGAAAAATCGTACAGTTAATACAACAGAAACCCATTAATCATTAATACAAGAAGATGCATACGTATATATATGTATATATATATATATATATATATAATTGGTGCAATACATATAGTAAATAAAGGATAAGAATGACCTGGCATGATCCGTTTGCTCCGAGCGTGCTCAGAAGCCAAGAAGTTGCTGGTCCAGGGCATTCCAGGGCCTGGGTGACTCGTTCCACGTTCAAGGGAAGCCCTCAGCGAACCGCCCGCCCCTCCCCCCCCCCCCCCCCCCCCCCCCCCCCCCCCACCCAAACAGAAAAAGAAGCAAAAAACCCTAACCCCAAACCCTGGACCCTATAACCCCATAACCCTAAACCCTATAACCCTAAACCCTAAATCCCCCCCTACCGGGAAGGCCTGGTGAGATCGACTTTGTCACGCGCTCCCGCTTGGAAGCCGCGCAGTTCCCGAAGGCCCTCCAGGACGACCTTGCCGGGATAGGGGGATTTACAACAGCAAGGGGCCCAACAAACAGACCCCAAAGAATAGAATCCCCTTAGAAAAAGGACCCCAGTAAGGTACCCCGAATATCGTAATCCCCATATGGGGCATGCGTGTGGGTTTCCATGGGAGTCGGCCGATGCAAGGCTAAGTTGGCATGTTGGAGGCCTCCGCGTGTAGGTGGCTGCCTATGATTCTGAGAGATCTCGGGAAGACTTTGATGCACATGGCGGCGAAGCTCGCGCACCTGTCTATAAGCATTGGTCCCACGATGGCCCTTCTGGGAGGTTCATGGGTAGTTACAAGTGGGCTTGTAAGTAGGGTAACTATGCCTATAACATTTTTGTAGGGTACTTATATATCCCAACTTCTAACTACCCATATGAACCTCCCAGTTTGGAGGAGCTCGAACGTGAGAAGGCGATCATGGCCAAGGCACCCACCAAGGAAGAGCGGCTGGCAAAAGCCTCTTCGGCCGAATTAAAGCCCTAAACCCTAACCCTAAACCCTAAACCAAGTTCCTATTTGTGAGGGGTAAGGGTTCCCAAAAAATGTCTCTGTAAAACAGATCGGGCACCTTTTTTTGGAGTTCTTAGCTTACTAGGCGTTTTAACTGGAGGGTCCACTTCGAGTACATTTCTGGAATTAGACGCCTTAATAGTACCATAAGTGGCCTCTCGGGCTTGGATATTTCATGCAGAAGACTTTGTAGTAATATAGAGAGAGTGACTTGGCAAGCCAATGAGCGGTTGAAAGAATGAAATGTAACAGAAATCCAAGTAATTCTTTATTGCTCATCCTTCTTTTCTTTGCTCGTATGATCTTTTCCCGTTTGGTTTATGTGACGAGCCTTTTAGTGGGCACGTGGCAATTCGCTTCACTCACAAGATTACAAAATCAATGCTTAACAACAGAATTCTCTGCGCTCTCTTTGTTCGCCCATTTCAATGCATCAAGTCTGCTGTTCTGTTCGCGTATACGGTTTGGATTGCTTGTCATTCTACCAACCCTGCGACCTGAACTCAACACCATACAATTTCGCAGCTCAAGTAGTACAAGTTATGCGCAACCTCTGACCCAGTCTTTCTTCTGAACCCGTCCGACCTATCCCCGAATCCCTATAGAGCAGTTGGGAGGGTGTTCAGGGCTTCGAGATTCGGGCTGAAACCCTAAACCCTAAGCCATACAGGACTCCTTCGAGTTGTGAGAGCCGAACAAGCCCACCTTGCACCATGTGAGGGGACAAAAACCTCAGCAGCCCACGCCCTGAAATCGGTAAAGTAGCTAGGAGTTGCCCTTTCTTCGTGCTCGGAAATGACATAGATCAATGGTAGTTCTCCAACGACGGGACCCGAAGTTCTTGAAGTCTAGCCAGCGACGAGTGTTAAGATTTCAGGGCCCAGGGCTTGCAGTGTGGGATGTCTCGGGAAGTGGCACAAGGTCTCCAGCACTTTGCGAGTACAATGGCGGTTACATCAGCCACAACCTATCCGGCTGTTAACAGTCGCCAAGCGGTGACAACGGTGTTTGGGAATCCTTGGGGTTCCCGACACTTGGGGCTCCCGTTCCGTGATCATGAGGTTGTGATCCAAGCCGTTCCCACACGCCAACCCCTCCCCATGCACGTGTGCCTGGGATAGGCCACAAGCAAACCCAAAATATTAATTAGAGATCGTTAGGCCACACATATATCCCATATATGTATATATATATATATATATATGTGTGTGTGTATGTATGTATATATATATATATATATATATGCATACATTTATTATGTTAAATCGTTGTTTGTATATATATAGGGTTTATATTTATGTTTTTATATTTGTTTTATATTTATGTTTATATTTGTTTTTATTTATTTGTTTACACACACACATATATATATATACATATATATATATATACACCTGTAAGTTCATGCATACATGTACGCCCTACTGGCTGCGAAGTGTCGGGGGGAAGAGCATGGAACTCTTTAGAGCCTCAACATTCTGGAGGTCCAGCAGCAGGAGACCGAGTACAGAGCCATGGCAGCACGTGCGTCCTGCTTCGGGCCTTATAGGGTTTAACCCGGGTTCAACCAGGGTGTAATTAGGGTTTAACTAGGGTGTAATTAGGGCTTGATTGGACTTCAATTAGGGTTTAGTTGGTTTAATTAGGGTGCAGCGAGGGTTTGATTAGGCTTTAGGTGGGTTTTTTTTTCGGGTTCAGGCGGCATCGCCTTCGCCTTCAGCTCCGGTTTCAAGTGGGTTGAGGTTTTCATGCTGTGTGATGCGGGAGCCTGCCATGCCTCAGGAAAGACTGTCGGTGTGGGACGTGTGGCCAAAGGCATGTGAAAGGGCTTCTGCTCGGGCTCCCCAGCGGGCAAGATATTGTGCGACATGGGGCTCTTGCGCACGGTCCCCTAAACCCTAAACCCAAAACCCTGGCTTGTCCGAGTGTGAGCGAATAAACCCTAAACCTCTGTGAAGCGCTGCTAGCTGCTAGCATGACATCATGACATGGCAAGTCGGTGGAGCGAAGACCAGCTGTCAGATCGGGCTTGCGGTCTAGGACTACGCTCCCTGGCCCAACCGTCATGCGGAGGTTTCCGAGAATATGGGACCCCGAATTCAGACCCCAAATAGTAGGATTCCCTTATGACAAGGACCCCAATTAGGTATAGCCCCATGTCAGTTCCCCGTCGACCCGGCTTGACACTGTCATTTCGCAAAACCCCCCAAGATTTGTATATCAAAACCAGGCACTGGGTTGAAGTTTGTGGTTTGGGTTTTGGGTTTCCAGGTCCTCGAGCAAGAGTTGTAGGTCTAGTGCCCATGCAGACAGTAGCCTGACCGCAATGTGCCCTTACTTCGTCAGGGGAGCCCGATGCTAACTTACAGCCGCCGGCCGACCGGCAAGCCGTTTCAGTGTTTCAGTGTGTAATATAGGAGCCTGAATCATAAGAATAGGGTTTTGGGGGTCATTATAGTATACTTATAAAGGGACCACAAGGGACGACCCCTGTTTTTCAGCCATGAGCCTGTTGGCATGCAGCCTGGCGAGGGATGATAGTGTTCTAGCTCGGGGTTTCGAGGCTTCTGTGGAAGATTAGGCCAAGGCTGCGACCGCCTCAGCTCGTTTAAAGAGAGTTTAGGCCCGTCCGGGCATGTGCCACCGAGGTCTAAAGGAGATGCATCTGGGGGGTTTACTTCTTTTATAGGTACCTTCTTGGGAGTCCTTATGATAAGGGGATCCTACTATTTGGGGGGTTCTATATGAGGGATCCCTTATGATCGTAAACGCCCATATCTGTTGAATCTATTGTAGATCCTCAGAAGATGCCCCCACACGACGCATGGTTCAGCTTGTCTGACGGAACATGAGCAGCCCCCGCCCACCCCCCGAAACAGGAACAGTGCACAGAGCACCTTACCGGTAGTGACTGCGCACTCCAGTGCTCGCAGCACAGTGCCGGCAACACGGCATAATCTGGGTTTTATTTTGACCTTGCCGGCGCAGTTGCCCAGACTGACTGGCGCCATCAGATTGTTCGAGGTGAATGTTCCGTTCAAGCGCTGTCAGATTACCCCAGTTGCATTGCAGTGCCGCATGATAAATTTTGTCGAGCAACACCCATGTACTTTGGCCGAGGGCTTGGTATACTTTCTGGATGACAGCGCATTATGAGCCAGATTCCGACCTCAGTTCCAACACAGTCTGTACAGCCGTACGTTGGGAAGAATTGAAGCATCGGCTTTTTTTGGCAAAGAAGAACACTGCAATATCTGCAGAGCAGTCGCGTCGATGTTTGCCATCGCAGGTGGCTTAGGGTTACAGGTTTCAAGGGCCTGCAGGGTTGACCTATGTTTTGGACACTATGTTTGGCATCCGAATCTATTCAAGGAGTTTACGATCCAAGAGATGCTAGAAGCACGCATCATGCAGATAACACCCCCCCCCCCCCCCCAGTGAGCTAAAGGACTGAAGTGCTAAAGGAGCTTTCTTCCCAACGAGAGCCTTTGCAAGAGGCCGCCTTGTCAAAAGTTTCAATTCTCGCCGAGCAGCATTCAGGGGCTAACAGGTTGGATGAAGCCCTACTTGGAGGTTCATGTTCACCAAGTATACCTGTACTTAAAACTGCATGTGTAACCATAGTAGGGCACTTAAGGGGCTTAAGTAAGTGCACAGTGAGTTGGAGCGGAGCAGCGTCTAGTCAAGTCTAGTCTTACTTTGCTGTGTATATATGGGACATCCTGCATTGTTTCTAAAGAGTCGTTCCAAGAAGAGCTATGTGAAACGAATTGTAGGTCTCGAATGATGACTCGCAGCCGCATGTACAAGGATCAAAGGGTTGACAGGGAGCGACAGACTGAGACGGACACAATGCAGATCACTGATTTGACATTTCTGCACTATGCCATGTTCCATCTCGGCATTGTAAGGCATACTGACCCACAGAGCCCCATGCCCTTTATAGTTCAGGAACATACCCTCATGAATAGTGAGCACGTCTGTACCATTCAAGGTGCATTCCCGAATTAAGCTCTGGGGCAGACTTCTGCACCTAAAATTATCGTTCCTGCAGGGGTCTTGAGGAGCTTGAACATCTCAAGTGCAGCGTTTCCATGATGCAAAGCACAAGATGCCACGTGTTGTGGTCCCCATCCACCACGAAACCTCGCGCTGCTCTGTTGCCCTGTTTTGGTTGCTGCGTCATAGCTGGGTAACATTTTGCATTTTTAAGGGTAGTTAACCCCAATAAGGAGTAGAAGTTTAAACGTTTAACAGTATCCCAAACCGTGAACAGGGTGGGAAAGGGTCAGTCCTGACTGAGCTCGGCTGGAGTCTTTGCAATCGGAGAGGCGGAGGTGCTGGCCAAGCCGTCAAGTGCGTGTGGAAGAAGGGAGGAGCCCTAGGAAGAGTAAAGCTTTGCATGTCAGCTCCGGAGATGGCTCACTTAACGTTGAAGTGGGCGGTGCGTGTGGCTACTTCCGGATAACACGTGCCTTGCGCCCTAGAACCGCGGCACTGAAGTTCCCAAACCCTCCCCACTCTGCCGCGGGATTCTAGGCTCACGGACCCTAATAGCCCTGAGCAGTCCCTGAGCCCTATAGACCCCTCAACTGCAACCCCCCCCCCCCCCCCCCCCCCCCCCAACCCTAAACCCTAAACCATCAACCCTAAACCCTAAACCCTAAACCCTAAACCCTGTGTCATTTTTTAGAGCAACCTACTGGTCCCGACCATGCTGGGGGGCTGCCTTCCTTCGGGGCATCACAGGCTCCTGTGTCGTGCAGGAAGCACCTGAATTTGTTCGAGAGCAGGCACCTCGACAAAAATGAGCCGGCAGAATGGGTAGAGGGTTTCGGGTTTCGGGTTTAGGGTTTAGGGTTTAGGGTTTAGGGTTTAGGGTTTAGGGTGGGAGGTGAAGCGTACTTCCAGGGTCTGGGCTTGAAGAGCCCAAGTACAAACTGCAGAATGTGTAGGCATCTAGGCCCCCAGGTAGCTATCGCTGGTCGACTTTTGCCGCGCCACCAAAGCTTCAGCTGATGTGCTAGGATGTGGTCCAAAACGGCAGGTATTGTGCTTCGAGGCCCTGCAAACTATTTGATAAATGCAAATACTAGCGCAGTTTGTCATGCTCATGCGAGTATGACTACGAATACTGAACTAAGACACAGATCATCACGATAACACTAGCAATGACACTCACGAATCACAATGGCCATGACCATCCCCATGAAACTATAACTACCAACCCTGCAACTACCACCATGAGCCAACCACTATAACCATTCAACAGATAAGTGTCACTCATAGCCATACTTATAGCTGTAGCTGCGACCAGCAACACTACTGAGAGTAGACGCGCCTTCTAATGTTGCAAACTTGTATTTCTTGGGGTCTGCAACTTCGCTGGATTGCGGGCGACAGTTTTGCTGTGCGACCTGCTCGAGGGTTGCTGCAGATGTTGCGGCCATGTTCCGCGTTCTGCTGCTGATTCTGCATACTACTGGATGTGTCCGCCCCAGAGCCCTTCTATCCTGCAAATTCCAGCAGCATCAGTTGTCAACTGTTGTCAAGGTTTGTTGGATCTTTGGTTTCATCGCCTCATCCTAGTCAGCATGAACTTCGGGGTGGGCTTGGGGTTTCTAAAGGGTTTCGGCTTGAGGGTTCACCCCCGGCCGCCGCCCCAAGCCCGGATTAAAAAAGCGGGTTTACGATGCACATCTGTGCCAGGCTCAGCAGGCCAGGCACAGAGCATTTTTTTCGATGGCAGGAGATGTGACGCAGAGACATTTCGCTGATGGCTGGCCTCTGAGACAAGGCGGCTAGTCGGAGATCTGGTCTCGGGTGTGTAGATCTGTGTAGGTGCAAATGTGAGGGAGTGAGGGACTCAAGGTTTCAATCTCTCTGGCATGGGCGTTGCGAACATCTGTTTGGGAGACGAACAAAGGTGAAGTTTCGTTGGTTTCGCCGGGTGTGCTTTCTCGCCACTTTCATAGGCTCGGTTCAAGCCACTCGGCAACCTGTCAGCGCCCCTTGCCTCTACATAGGGGGCTTGGCGCATCTTAGCGCCAACGCCCCATGCGTCTGTGGGAGGCTTGGGCTGGCCGGAACCGCTTCTGCTGCGGTGGCTGGATCATGTTGCCAGGGGCGATGTTCCCCTGCGTTGCGGCACTTCCCATCATAGTTGGGATCTGTGGGGCTTTCTACGTCCTTGAGCTTCAGAGAATTCCCAGCTCGATCGCATGGTGCCTGGCCATAGCAGGCACCGCACTTCTCATCCTTTCGGTCGGGTCGTTCCTATGCACTGCGACATCGGAGCCCGGGATGATGCCAAGGGCCTCGGCCCTGACGGCGCTGACGCTGTCCTCGGCGGGCCGGAGCAGCGTGGAGGATCTCTGCAGGGAGTATGCAGCCATCGGCTACACGGCGCAAGAGGTGGCGGCCATGGAGGAGAAGCTTCTGCGGCATGTGCAAAGTTTTCCCATCCTTGCTGAGGATGCAGAACCCACGCCGGCCGCCATTGAACAGGTCAACCAGTTTTGGGGCCGCCTCTTCAAGGACAAGCGCTTCATGCACCTGAAATGGTGCTCGACCTGCGAGATACGGCGGCCTCCTGGTTGCTCTCATTGCAGCCACTGTGACAGTTGTGTCCGCGGCTTTGATCACCACTGTCACTGGGTCGGCAACTGCATTGGCTCTCGCAGCCACAGATGCTTTTTGACTTTCCTCCTTGCAACATCGTGGTTGGCAGCCCTTGTCATAGCTACATGCATTGGTGACATCGCGGTCGAGATTGTTGGCCATTGCAGGCAGCATCCGGATTTGCTGAGCAGCAACAGGCGCAAGATTTTGGCCGGTCTCCTTGCGACAAACAGCATCATTCTTGGGGGAACCCTGCTGTGCAGGCTTGTGCAGACCTACTGCAAAACCTGGTCCCACAAGAGCCGGCAGCAACCTTCACGTGTCCTTGCGCAAGCTCAAGCGATAGGACTGGCGAGTTTGGCAGGTTTGACGGCAGTCTGGATCTTTCTTGCTGCCTGTTTCGGAGTTATTCCACTTGTGCCCCTCATGTTTCTTGTTGTGACTTCGGCTTTTTCCTTCGGCCTATGTCAGATGTTGCTCGAGCAAGTTTCCAACTTGGGCCACGGGCTTACTCTGAAGCAACGTGTCGTACTGGAGACTTGGTAGCCCAGTGGTACCCTTTTCCCTTTTTTTTGGCTTAAGGTTCCCTTAGAAATCTACCAACCCAAAAAAGGGTGCCCCTATCATAAGATGGCTACTGGGCTACCAAGGAGAGCAGTCCAGCCACCGCGGCCCCCCGCAGTGAGTTCAAGCTGGGCACATTCTGCGCATTCCTTTCGAAGCCTTCGCCCCCAAGCCTGGTGCCTTTCCATGCTGTTGCTTAGCTGCTGGGTAGTTAACCTTTTTTTACCTTTTTGGTTTTTATTTATATATATATATATAGTGTCCTGTTATTTTTTGGTTTCTATATGTGTATATATATATATATTCCTGATACATCTAAAAGGTTGAAACTATTTTGGGGCTAGGGTATTCAGCCCCCCCTAAGGTGGTCTCCACCAGGATCCTCCGGGATGCCAGCAAGGCATCGCGCGCACGCCAGGAGGAAGACGCGGAGCTTGGAGGTCACAGCTGCTCGAACCCGGCTCTGCCCTTTTTGAAAGCCGAGCCCAGTGAGGAGTATGATCCATCACTACTTTTTGCTTAAGAACCATCCAAAACATAGGAATATAATTCCTATATGACACTTATCAGGAAGGTTTTTATACAATATGTACATATATATATATATATATATATATGTTTTCTTTTGTTTTGGCGGGGGGGGGGGGGGTCTCCCAAACCCTAACCCTAGTCCCTACCTTTTCGGGGCAATACAGGGAATATTCTCACCGATTCTTGAGCAAATCGTCGAGAGTTAAGCGGCCGTCGCCCAAGCCATGCCTCGATGGCAACAGCGGCACACCATGGCACACCATGGTTCGGAGAACCGTGACGAGCCATTCACCACATGCAGGGTTTCAGGGTTTTGGTTGTTTTTTTGGGTTTTCGGATTTTGGGGTTTTAGGGTTTTAGGGGTTTTAGGCGTTTAGATTATGGGTTTAGGGTCTATTATGGGCTTTTAGGATTTAAAGAGTTCGTATCTGCAACTGCACGGAGAGACGGCTTTTGCGGAAAGGCTTTGCCCTACTGAAGTTTGCGGAGTGGTCTTGAAGGCTTCGATGATAAGAGGCTTCTACTACAGATGTCGATCTTGAGTTGGAGGTCTGCCTTACCACTGCGGATCCTTCTTCTTGTTGGCAAGGTTATCCTAAACCCTAAACCTAAACCCTAAACCGCGGATCGTACTAGTGTGCCTCAGGGATGGGGCGACTGTAGGTGAGGTTGCGGGCGTTAGCTGGAGCCAGGGTTTAGGGTTTTGGGTTTAGGGTTTAGGGTTTCGGGTTTAGGGTTTAGGGTTCAGAGTTTTTAGGGTTTAGGTCTGCTCCTCTGCTGCAAACCTTCAATCACAAAGAGCTATGGGCTCTCACAGGGCGTAGGTGTGGGTAGCCCTCATAAACCTCGTACAAACAGAAAACAAATCCTGAACCCTCAACCCAAAACCACGTCCAGCACCCCTACAGCCTCTGCACCCTGTAAATGCTGTAAACCCCAAACCCTAAACCTATGCACAGTAAAACCTCAACCCTCTGCCCTCTACCCGTGTGAACCCTGTAAAGCATGTGGATCCTAAAATCCCGCCAGACCCTATCAACCCTACAAACCCCATAAACCCTACAAACCCGGTTAAACCCCAAAAACCCTAAACCCTAAACCCCCCTGAACTGGGTGAGGCGCGGCTCATGCGCTGGCCCTGCGCTCGCTCGGTCGCCGCGAGGTGCCATCGGGGAGGCCTGGAGACATGTGCATACGTGTTCCTTAGGGTTGAGGGGGTTTACGGTGTAGGGTTTAGGGCTTAGGGTTTAGGGTCCTCGAGCAGCTACAGCCATTGTTGTGTCTCGTCGGGAATCCATGGGGCTATGTATTACTTGAGAAGGTTCAGGGGTAGTTATGGGCCATAAGGTCGGGGGTGGGCTAGCAGCATGGGAGTCGAGCTCCTGAAGCCCGGCATGTGCTTTTCACTCGTGTGCTTGTTGCGGGGTGCGCTACGTCGCAGAGATTGTGGAGAAAGCAGTATGGGCCGGCCAGCGCCCTTTGCTTCACTCACAGTACCCACTCACTTCCGCTTCTGTTTAAGGATGGTGCCGTGCTGAGTTGCTCCGTCTCAAAACGGCACATCAAGTGTACACAGCCACAGTGGCTTAGTGATCTCGGTTCTTAAGGAGCACTCGCCAGCACTGAGAAGGCAATTGATGTGCTTGGCTTCTTGCCAGAGGATTGCATCATGCAGAACAATCCTTCTGCCCAGTCAGGGCTTTGCGAAGGATGTAGGCTTAAGCGAGCAGTCGGCGCAGGACAACCTTTTGATTCGGGGGAGTCTTGAGCGTCCGGTAAGCACGAAAACAGCACACCATGTTTCAGTACACATTCCGCGCCTGGAACACGCGGAAAACTCGCCAAACAAGTTGAAAGCGCCTTGGGCAGAATCTCTTCCGAACCTGCCCGCTTTTTTGTCGAAGCTGGATTGCTTGGTCGACACCCACGCAGTGTTACTTAGGTGCCTTCTTTAGTCTCTAAATATTACCCTAAACATCCCTAAACCCCAAACCCTGAACCCTGAACCCTAAACCCTAAACCCCAACCCTAAGCCCTACACCGCTTGATTTCCTCTACCGGTTCCCTACTCGGGCCATCGCTTCCGAGAACCTAGAGTCATCCTCATTATTGTAAGTATTTCGGATGTTACGCCTTATCAGTCCTTAGTAGGGATGATAGCAGGGGGGTACGATATCATCCCTATTAAGGACTGTTAATATAAGGGGAACATCCCAATTGTAATTTCTTACTACTTGTTTCAAGTTAGCTAGGGTATCATGACTACTGCAAAACCCAACGAAATAGACTTAAAAGTTTTAAGTCTATTTCGTTAGGTTTTGCAGTAGTCATGATACCCTAGCTATGGCGACCTGCTGCAATTGTCCTGCCTAGAAATTGATGCCCTCGGCCTGACAGCGCCATTAAACAGTAGGAGTTGCGTGGAGAGAGGTCGGAATTCGGGTTAGGTTTTGGGGTTTGGGCTTAGGGTTTGGGATTTCGAGCTTCTTTTGCGTGAGGCTATTGGACGTGGTCGTTTGCTACTGCCGCCCGGCCTTGATCAAATCCGAGCTCGGCGTCCTCAGCGTTGTAGGGGGGTTTAGGGTTTAGGGTCTGGGTTCAGGGTTCAGGGTTTAGGGTTTAGGGGGGTTTGATGTTTAAAGTTTAGGGTGGAGGGCTCAGCTGCACGCGAGACTCAAGAAAGTGCCATGCTGCATCTCTCATCAAAGCAAGCGACCAGCACAATGACGCTAAACCCTAAACCCTAAACCCTAAACCCTAAACCCTAAACCCTAAACCCTAAACCCTAAACCCTAAACCCTAAACCCTAAACCCTAAACCGAAGATGGCGTGGACAGTTTTGCATTTGAGGCTCCGAGCGTCTGTCCTGGCTGCGCGCGTTCCACAAATTGCCCTGGCGGGACGCAGCCCATCCCAACGCTTAGGGTTTGGGGTCTAGGGTTTAGGCTTTAGGGTTTAGATGGGTTTAGGGTTTAGGGTTTAGGGTTTAGGGTTAACATGATTGGGGTAGGTTTCCCCAATTTCCATGGTCCCCCCAAAACCCCGAAGGTCATTGGGGCTAAGGGTCGAGGCTGCAGCCAGGGATGAGGAGTTCTTTTGAGGTTTGGGCTGCAGAGCTTTTCGATATTAGAAGTTAAGTTGAACTATATGCCGCAGGTGCACTGCCATGTGCGTGGTATTCATATTCTGGCGTTTCTTGTTCTTTGTCTTTATTTGATTGGTATTCATGTACATGGCTCCTTGCAAGCCGAATGCAGCACATGGTGAGGAAAACCGTTCTGCCGCAATTCGTGAACTGGTGACGTTGAGAATCTATCACAAGCCGCCTGGCGGCCGCAGGTGTAAGGAGTTTGGTGTTTGGACCCTCGGTTCTCGGCTCCGAAGGATTTCTGATGTAAGGTTCGGAGAGTAGTGGATTCTTATCAGCATCCAAAGTGTCAAAACACAATCATTGACTGCATATGCCGACCTCAAACGTGTCCAAGAACTCCCGTCTAACCGCAAGGGGTCTGGAAAGCTGGGGGTACAACATCAGATGCAACCCGTGACCAGATCAGACCCTACCCATGTAAAAAGAGCTGGATAGTTTGACCAGGAATGCCCCCCGAGGGAGATGTCGCGAAGAGCTGCCCACCCCTAGCTAGAGAATTCCGTGTGGGGAAGGTATGGGACAGGCCACCTCAGCACAACAGCTCCCCCAACCAAAGCAGACCCTGTTGTGATCTGATTTCGTTGGGGATCTTCGGTTCTGACAGTAAAGTATTGTTCTGTGCGAAGGCAATGTTGCTTGCGTGGATGAATTGGTTCTCGTGTCACAAGGTGCGGTGGGTATGGCAAGGGCGTGCGCGAGGCATCGGGAAAGAAGCTGTCTTTTTTCAGTTTGATTGGGAAGCGATTTGGGGAGGCTAGCTGACTTTGCAGGACGCGAGGTGTGGGGTTCGAGCTGAAAGTGGTGAGATTCTTAGCTCACTGCAGGACTGTTCGGCGCCTTGCCACCCCATGTGCCTGTTGGTCCAGCGTTCCACTCTCATGCGAGTCCGTATCCGTATGAGAAGTTCGTAAATTGAACCACACTGGTGTGGCTCTCTGTGGCTCGAGGCAGAAACCGATCGCCTTCGCACTGAATGGGGGCCATATTTTCGCGACGTCGATGTGCCTTATCTGCTACCGCGAACAGAGTTTTTTTTCCAATCAAGAGCTTGTTGAGAGGAGTGTCTTCTTTGTAAGGTTTGAAGTTTGAAGGCGAGCAACTGTGACTGCTGGACCCTAGGGTCTAGCGGCGCCCTACGCCAAACCTCCATACTTCTGGTCCAAGAGGATAGAAGAAAGTCGCTTTGTACGGACGGGGCCAGACATTGAATTCAAATTTCAGAACTTTTGGTTTTCTCTTTGACCTTTAAGCTTCAGTCTCAGCGGCCGGGCGGCTGTTCCTCAAGAGTGATACACACAAAACGACGCGCAGGCTCCTTAACTCTCATGGCAACCCCAAAAGCCAGCAAACTGCTCAGGTGCGCTACGTGGACGACGTCCTCCGTGCCGATGACGACTCGGCGTATCTGGCATTTATCATCGACTGGCGACCAGGTTGCAGCCATGGTCGACCCTAAACCCTAAACCCTAAACCCTAAACATCCTCTCTCACTCTGGCAAGTTGGGTTTGGCGATCCTAGGGCCTCTAGACCAAACTGGGGGCTCAATGTGCTCGTTCTTTACGTTATGTGTTTGGATGTTGTCGTTTTCATGCTATGTGTTTAGATGCTGCATTATTCATGTTATGTGTTTAGATGTTGCATGTTGTACATTGCCTGTGGTATCTTGTATACGGTATGATAGATTACTATACTAGTCAGACCAGACTGCTTTATTCTATGCTTTCGCACACTGGGTGACTGGGTTACACTAGGGCCTTTGAAAACCTTAGTTGACAGCGCCCAGGATGCGAGGTTCGTGTGACTTGTGCTCGGCATAGTGGCATGCCATCCACCCAGGACCTGATGACCTAGCTTGAGCTAGCGCATGGTGCGCGCGCGCAGTGCGACTCTGCAGGCCTTGCAGGCCTTTAAAACTTCCCAAGCCAGGTACGAAGACTTGCCGGAGTATACCGTGTTCCTTCATGCCGATGCGCCAGAGACCCTCGCTCAAAATGATGGTTGCTGTGTCTACAATCGGGGAAGTGCGTGCGGCGAAGTTGGAGCGCTGCTACAGGCCAATTGGCATCAACAGGTGGTACCTGGAAACCATATCCGGAGTCCTTTCTCTTGCCCCCTCAGCCCTAGACCCTGAACCCTTATCCGGGATCCTTTCTCTTGCTCCAGGCACATCCCGTCCCTGGAGCTTCTAACAGATTCCGTTTACGCTGCCATCCGTGGGTTCCTGCCGGGTGGTATTGGCAGCTTGGCTGCATTCTCGCAAGAAGTTATGGCAGGAGTGATCGCCTGATACATGGGCACTTGCGCCCTGGTAGTTTAGGGTTTAGGGTTCAGAAGGGCCTGCCATGGAGCCTGCGTTTTACATACCACATTTCTATGTCTGCTTGGTTGTTTTTCCTTGATTCTTAGGTTTCTTGGTCCTCATGGCAGGCCTTTCTACATCGCCAATCTGTGTGTGTGTGTGACGGATTAGGAAGCCAAGCCAAGATGAAAACACGATGTTGTAAACACGTCTTGTGTTTATAAACAGGCTGGGTGTTTGTAAGCAGGCTGGGTGTTTATAAACATGTCAATCTTTGGGCGGGGTTGGGTGGGGGTGGGTGGGTTGGGGGTGAGGGGGGGGGAGTCTCACCTCAACATCCCAGACCTCACATCCCCCCCCCCCCCCGGCCCCCCCCCCCCTTCCCCTCCCAGTCTTTAGTCGTCGCGCGCGCCGCAGATTCAGGCATCGAGTATCGCTAGCTCACTAATGTTGGGCTGGCTTTAGTGGATGGGACCACTATTATGCGATTTTCCGATCCGCTTATACAGAACCCCCCATTGTTTAGGGGGGTTCACAATTATGCGATGTTGTCCCGGCCGGGGTTGAAGGGCGGGGGGCCGGGGAGCCAAAAACTAAAAATGTTTTGAATAAGAAACTCCGGAAATTTTTGGTGTCCAGCCTTATTGAAATTCCTGTAAAAATCTCATTACGAAACAGGCCCCGAAACAATTTTCCAAGGGAGCAGCCCACGAGCTGCCCTGATTCGCTTTAGCAAGTTGTTTCGGTGGTCCGCATTTATGCGGAGCCCCGGCGGCCGTGGAGCTACAAAGTCTGGAAAGCTTAGACCCTCAAGCTTCAAGGCTTCCCCTTAACCCTCGACCCCTAGCCGCGCTACCCCCAGCCCCGTCCCAGCCCCAGCCCACATTATTGAGGATCCCCGAAAACCCCAAAATTGTTTGGGGGAGGGGGGGGGGGGAGGGGCCTGCGCACTAAAGCGAGTCTAACCTGCCTACTCAAATCGATGCGGCCATGAAGCGCATGCACCGCCCAAGTTGCCGGCATCATTGAGATCGCAAACGCAGTTTGCCGCTTGCTCACCAACATCAATGTCGTTGAAACCCCTGCGCGTGGTTGCCAAACATCAGCAGGCTCATCGTCGACAGCACCTCCTTCGCGCACTACATCACCTCCTCGTATCAATGAGCTCCTCACTCAGATCGCCAATGATGCCATCCCCACGCACTACTCCAAGAAAGACCTGACTTCCAGACAAATCCAGGTGCACATGTGTCACATTCAGCGGAAGTGTGGCTTGCACACCGGCGTCCAAGGTGGCTGGAACACAACGGCGGACGAAGCCCTGCGAGGATGGTTGCAAACAGCATGGAAGGGCGTCAAATTTCAGCTCTTGGAAATTGGCGATGGCAACCCCAGCAATGAGGATGAGAACGCAAACGGCGCCAAGCCCAATCCCCTCAATGTCATCCCCGACAGTGAGGATGAGGACAAGAACCGCGCCAAGCCCAACAACCCCAAGGCCGAGAGCCAGGAGTCTGACTCAGACGAAAACCGTGCCAAGCCCAACAACTCCGAGGCCAACAGCGAGGAGTCTGACTCTGACTCGTCTTCATCTTCCAGTAGTGCGTCGTCTTGCACAACTCAGCGGGCAATCAGCACCTGAACAAGTACCCGCGGAAGAAGCGTCGGCATTCCAAGCCATATGCGTGTTCACCAAAGGCGAAGTCAAAGGCTAAGCCTCAAAAAAGAGGCCAGCGGCAGCCTCTTCGAAGACCAAGTCGTCTTGTTTCATGAAGAAGCAGCTGCGTCTAAGTGATCTATCAAATGCTCAGCTCCACACTCCTATTCATGAAATACTTCGGTTCGAAACATTTCCAATCAGCATGTGTGGCTGGCTTCAGCCGAAAGCATATCGTCGACGAGGGGGCCATCGACAAAAGAATCGCAACTGATATATGCTCGTGCAGAAAATCATGTGCTACGGAAAACGCAGGCCCCATGACAGGCCTCTCTCTTAGGGTTTGGGGTTAAAGGTTTAGGGTTAACCGGGACACGTTCATTGGAGATTCGTGTTTGCTCCATTGCCCTTGGACACGTTTCTCAGGAGCTCCAGAGACAGCGCGCCAATCTAGGAAGCCCCCTATCCAGTCGTCAAACATTGCGTGGAGATTCCGAGATTTTGAAAAAGTCCAAGGACCAATTGAATGTGTGCTTTTGCTTGGCATATCAATTAAATCGGGGCACTTGCTCATGTCTGTCGCCGATGCAGACAAATCCTGAACTCACACCGTGACGCACAAATCTCTTCGGCCAGCCTCGACCCCAAACTCTAAAGTCTAAGACACCTTAAGCCCTAAACTCTAAGCTCTAAGCTCTAAACCTTAAACCCTAAACCTTCTTGGTATAAAACTTGAGGGAATCAGGGCCCTCTATATACCCTTTAAGGGATTGCATAGGGTACCTCATTCCCCATTCCCTACTAAGAACCAGCCAGTTGATTTCTCAGGCTTCGTGCATTTCGCGCACAACTACGTGCTGTTGGACTGGGGCTGCCCCTTGGCAGGATCATCTCTACTGTGGAGCCATGAACTTCGGGTTGAATTAATTAGGGTGGTGTTGGGTTTAGCGTTGAGGGTTTAGGGTACCGAAATCAGTTTTTGGGACCACTTCCAGAGGATGGTCGAAGACCAGCTATCCTGAAGCCCAGTCTCAACCCCTAAACCCCGAACCCGCAACCCTGAACCCTAAACCCCAAGAAGTGTTGTCAGGCTGAACCGACAGGGTTTACGAAACCCGAGGCCCTAAAGCCCATAAACCCTGCAAACCCTATAAACACTTTCAACCCTAAAACCCTATCGACCCTATAAGCCCTAAAAAGCCTATGAGCCCAGAAAACCCACAAACCCCTTAAACCCTATAAACCCTATAGACCCTCAAAACCCTATGAATCCCATAAACCCGAAAAACCATAAATAAATACGCAAACCATGCAAACCCCAAAATCCTTATAAGCCCCATAAAACCTACAAACCCTATAAACCCATAAGCCCTATAAAACCCTAAACCCTGTAAACCCTTCAAACTCTATAAACTCTATAAACCCCACAAGCCCTAAAAATCCGATAATCCCTATAACCCCCATAAGCCCTAAGACCCTACAAACCCAAAAAACCCTCCTAACCCCACAAACCCTGTTCACTCTAAATCCGCCTGGGTTTAGGGTTTGGGGTTTAGGGTGTTTTCGTCCCTGGCGGGCAGTGCAGCAGTCCTAGCCGTAAGAAAGGGTTTAGGGTTCGGGTTTCGGGTTTAGGGTTTAGGGTTAGGGTTTCGGGTTTAGGGTTTAGGGTTTAGGATTTAGGGTTTAGGATTTAGGATTTAGGATGCCAGCTCAGAAGCCCAAGGTGACCAGAGCAGATCTTGTGAAGGTCGTCAGCTTGAGCCGGAGCGTCTCCATCGGGCGTGCGGGTGTTTAGGGTTTAGGGTTTAGGGTTTAGGGTTTAGGGTTAGGGTTTAGGGTTTAGGGTTTGGGGTTTAGGGTTTAGCTATGTATGGGGGCTCTGTTGGGGTCTTAGGGCTTGAGGGGTTGAGGATTTGGGGCTGAGAGCTTGAAGCTATGTTGCGTACGCATCCATTTGGTTTGAGGGGCCGTTTCTTAATTAAGGTGGCCTGGGAGGGGGCGGGGGGGGAAAGGGGTTGAGGGTTTTGGAGCCTTGGAGCTTCGAGGTTTAGGGTTTTAGAGTTTTTGGGGTTAGGGTTTAGGGTTGAGGGAGGTTGAGGGATCTTCGACAAAGCAAACTTCGCATAGAGTAGGTTTGGGTTGGATTGCGCCACATGGATGCTCTTTAGCGTGGACAAAGGGTTCTAGCATCTCGTGTGCGGATGTGTAGGACCCCAAATGTAGGTTCTCATCCCTAAGTCGTAGCACCATAGACCCTGTTTATTCCGAAACTCTGCACCGTACAGTTTCTCTCTAAGCCCCACTGAAGTTGAGCTTATCGAGATGCCGGAGTGTGTCATTCGAACTCGGACATAACCCTCCAAAGCTGAGACCTTGCATCCGAAAACCGTATACCAGGGGCACGTCGCGCTCGTAGGGTTTAGGGGCGGGCTTCGGAAACCTCTTGAAGAAGTGGCCCTAAACCCCAAACTTACACGCTTATGAGACCCAACCACCTGAAGAGCAACACTTTCAGGCTCGTTCGTAGGGCTCAGGGTTCAGGGGTCCAGGGGCTGTTGAGAAGGTTCAAGATCCTGCCCTCAACAAGCAAAAACGCCAAGCATTTTCCCAAAAGTATGGATTAAGGGTTAAGGGTTAAGGGTTTAGGGTTTAGGATTATTGGTACATGCGGGTGTAGTTCACGTAGGCTGCCATGTTTCAGAGCCAGCTGACATGCAGAGTCTGGGTTCAAAAGGTTATTGGTATATAGGACCAACTTGGACAAACCAATCTCCCTGAACCCTAACCCTAAACCCTAAGCCCTATAAACCCTAAACCCTAAACCCTAAACCCTAAACCCTAAACCCTAAACCCTAAACCCAAATACTTGTCGCACCAATTGGCAGGAGTTCTCCACCCTCTGGAAGCGTGTCTTTGGTGCCTCCATCGCGCCAAGCCTGGCCGCTGGGCATGTGACGCTGGGCTGCCAGGGTTTAGGGTTTAGGGTTTAGGGTTTAGGGTTGAGGGTTGAGGGTTGAGGTGTGCTTGGAGGTTCATGGGTAGTTATAGGTAGGGATGGAAGTAGGACAACTTTTTTTAGTTAGAACTGACCTTTTACCCGTATTTAGGGCACCGAAAAACCCCATTTCTAATTGCCCATGAACCTTCAAGTCAAGTCGTCCGAGGAGACTTGGGAGTCTGGAGTTTAGTCTCGAGTTTTGCGAGCATGGACTGTATTGAGGGTTCTCCAGCTGTTGCTTGCACTGGTGCGAGCACCATCGACGAGAAGTTTAGGTACGCAGCCCCGGCACCTTTGATCATTTCATGCTTTGTCATGCAACACACGAAGCTGACTTCGGGCTCCTTTTGGGGGATCTGCTTGGGTTGCATGTGTACCCACCGAAGCAGCTCGGTCAAGGATTTCCGATGTGCGCAAGGGTGCAGCACACGACAGCTTTGAAGACTGCCTGATGCAAGCTTCTTGTGTTTTGTTCACCTCCCAAGCCGGCAGCAAACCTACCTTGTGGTCCTCCAAGCATAGCAAATGGCCAAAGAACCGAAGATAGTTGGGGCCACATATACACACACACACACACAGTTACAGACACACATACACCTTGAAGCCGAAGTCTCGCGGAGGAATGCCTACTGCTGTGTGCAGTTCATGGTTAACCGTGGCCGTATCCACTTGAGGCCCGGATGACAGCTAGCTCAAGCTGTGCGCTTTCAACCGCTCTCGCTTAGCTCCGCCAAGCCCCACCACCCAGATAAATGGTGACTTGCGTTCACTTGGTCAACGGCGAAAGAAGACGACTTTGGACATCACTGTGAGACTGATCCGTAAGATGATTCTTGAGCGCTTTTGTTCAACCCATGATTCTCCTGTCAAGAGGAATCACAAAAGGTGTGGTCTTTGCCGTAAGCTGGCCTTGCTAGGCCCAAGTCTTTCTATGAGCGCGGGCTTGCATACTTTGGGCATCTGGGCAGCACTTTGTGAGCTTTCTTGCTATATTGGGATAGGGCTCATTCTCAACGAACAGTGAGCCCTGAAACCCTCAAGCTTAACAGCCCAAGCCCGAAACCCCAAAGCCAAACGAACAAGCAATATTTGCAAGGACAACAAGGAACGCCTCCTATACTTGAAGGTTCATGGGCAGTTATAAGTAGGGTAATACGTAACCTAAATGCGGCTCAAACCAGTTACAATAGTAGTTGCTCTACCTCTAACCCCACGTATCACTACCCATGAACCTCCAAGTAGCCCTAAACCCTAAAACCCTAAAACCCTAAAACCCTAAAACCCTAAAACCCTAAACCCTAAACCCTAACCCGAAGACCCTAAAACCCTAACACCCTAAACCCTAAAACCCTAAACCCTAAAACCCTAAAACCCTAAACCCTAAACCCCAAACCCCAAACCCTAAACCTCCAAGTAGCTTCCCAGGACCACGGCCGAGTCCTACCACCGGCTTTTTCCTGTGGGGCGTGGCCTGGACGTTGATGGTTTGTTGGACTCTTTAGGGTTTAGGGTTTAGGGTTTAGGGTTTAGGGTCAAGGGTGTGAGTTTTTGTAGCAAACAAAGAGGGCCCTGGACCCCAAACCCTTTTGTGGCAACTGGGACCCTTTGCGTGCTAAACCCCTTACCCTAAACCCACATGTCCTGTGCTCTCGGTGCACTTGCGTGCTTCCCGTGGGAACCCTAAACCCTAACCCTAAACCCTAAACCCTGTTTGGGTCTATAGAACATTCGTTGTGATGGCGCTTGGGTTCGGATTAGGTCGGGCCCTCGATGGCTTCGGGGGAGGCGTGGGGATTTGAGGATGAGGTCCGGGGTTCAGGGTTGAGGGTTTGTGAGTGCAACCTAGATGTTAAGAGCAGGAGCCTGTCATCGGAAAGGAAAGGGACCATCAGTTCGAAAAGTGTACATGTATTCGACTTTAGAGTAAGCTGCGAAGCTTTTCAACGGCCTCCAACGCCTGCCAGCTGAAGGAGTGGTTCGGAAGGCTGATGTGTGATTGGCCTGCAAGCAGCGAAAGGCATATTCGTGCGGATGGGGTGGGGGGGGGTGGGGGGGTAAGTGGCTGCTACATGAAGGTTGCTGTTCCATTAAGCTCAGAGTCCAGTTCTCTTGACCTCATGTCTATACATGTCTATACTGTCTAAGCCCGAAACCCCCTAAACCCTAAACCTTAAACCCTAAACCCCATTAATTACAAGGGTGTTCCGTGCTCGTTATCTTGGTTGAGTTGGGCGTGTGATAGTGACCTGAGTCGGACACAGTGGATCCAGCTTCTATAGCTGTTCTAAACTAAAGTCCCACCTGCCCGCTTCCTTGCAACAGGGACCCTAATTCAGAACAACCCCCTTCTCAACCGTTGGAGGTCCCCGTTTGGCACTTGTTACAACGCGGGCCCTCACACCCCGGATATTCAGGGCTGCTTATGGGCAGTTCGAGAAGTGGCGTTAAAAGTAGGGTAACTATAGTTTTGTCTGCGTATAACCTCACTTAGTGTACCTATAACCCTACTCATAGCTACCATGAAATTGAAGTGGGTCATGGCTTGAAACAGCCCAAGCCCTAACCCCTAAACCTTATCCTGAAAATCCAAAACCCTAGACCCTAAACCCTAAACCCCTAAACCCATAAACCCTAACCCCTGAACCCTAAACTCAGACATAAGGTTCGGCCGCACTCCGGGTCAGCTCCCTTGCGGCACTGAAAAATGCTTTGCGGCTTGCAGTTCACTACAGGGGCCGGAATAACTACTCATCGCATTCCCTTATGGTCCCTTCATAAAAAAGCTAGAGTACCCCCCCCCCCCCCAAAAAAAAAAAAAAAAAAACCTATTCTAATTATCCTAAACCCTAAGCCCTAAACCCTATATTAGGAAGCCCCCTATATTAGTGGGCTTCGGGTGCCTTTTGGACAGGCTTCAGGATGGAAGGTAGCACTGGAGACAGCAACATGTAATGGGAACATCCCAAGTTGGTGCACTAGACTGATCAAGACCAATCAGCACAAGATTGTCTGCAGACAGTTGTTGCCAGAGGCTCGCGATGTACATTTGGCATGCCATGTTTGGCGAAGCACTGAAGCTACCCCGACGGCAGCAGGTAGGCTCGATGTTGTTGTGAGGGGTTGAGGTTTGAGGAACGCAGGCCCTCCGGTAATCGAGGGTTTAGGGTTTAGGGTTTAGGGTTGAGGGGGCATAGCCAAGCTCGTTGCAAAAGGGTTTAGGGAGCTGGGGGGCCTGTTCCGGCTCCGGGGTCGAGAGTTCAGAGCTCTTCTGCATGTCGGACGTCTTTTGTGATAACCAGTGGGCGTTTAGCAATGGTTGGTTCATGGTTGGGGCGTCGGAATCCTTTTTGATCATGGCCCTAGGCCATAAACCTAGCTATAGGACAGTGGTCGTTCATGTACACTTAGAGAAGTAGATCGGCTTCTGAGACACCTGGGGAGGTTGAGGGCTGTTAAGGCAACGACGGCGACAACCCCCCCATGTCCTACGCCGGATCATGAAGATGGCACGCACCGGGGGGCACATGTCACTGCTACAACCCGAAACCCTGAACCCTAGACGGGCCTCTAGACTAGGGCTCAGGTGCCCGATTTCTGTATTGCTGCATCTCCTGCAATGGAGGTTTGTCGGTTTGTCCGACAGATATCTCTTTCTGCTTGCAGTAGCTGGGAACGGGAAGGACCAGCGGCTCCCATTGTTCATGAAGATCCAGAATGTGGAGGCATGAAGTCAAGAGTTGGGCATTTGGTGATGTATGCAATCGGGTTTAGGGTTCAGGGTTTGGACGAGGTGGGGGTGGGGTACGGTTCAGGGTTCAGGGTTCAGGGTTTGGGGTTTAGGGTTTAGGGTTTAGGGTGTAGGCTCCGAGTCGGAAAAAGTCAGGGGTCAACCCATACCGGGACCATCGCCCCGTTCCCACGACTTACGTGCCAGAGCGTGCCTTGTGGGTTTTCTGGAAGCGACAGAGGTCTTCCGACAATAGGGAACCCCAGAATAGCCCCCCAAATGGTAGGATTCCCTTATATTCATAGCCCCCCAAATAGTAGGTTCCGTCATATTCAGGACTTCCATCTTTCAATTCCAAGACACTTCTTCACTTCGGATCTTGTGAGGGTAGGTGCATGCATGGTCACTTGCTATGGTCCCTTACCTTGCTGTAAGCTGCCCTAAACCTGAACCCTAAACCCTGCAGTGCGTCTGACAGGCAGTTGCAAAAAGCACCCTAGTTTAGGATTTAGGGTTTAGGGTTTGGGGTTTAGGGATTAGGGTTCAAGAGCCGCGGTTCTGTTTCAGCAACAATGAGATTTCAGAACGCCAGAGTGACCTTTTTCGCGGGTTTAGGGTTGGGGTTTAGGGTTTAGGGTCACAGGCAAGCTACCACAGGAGCCCTGAAGCAAAAAGGGTTTAGGGTTTAGGGTTGAAAGCTAATGCTTGGAGATGAATCTGGCTGGTCCTCAAGCCCAATTCCAAAAGGGTTGAAAGCTAAAGGTGGAGGCACTGGAGGAGGACGGCACCACCTCAGATGCCGGGTGCCCAGTCTAACCCTTTGAACTTCCAGTTGGATACCTTGATTGCCCTCTATTGTTGAACTGTTGTTAGTATTTTCTTATTCTTATTATTCTTAGTATTATTATTAGTATTGGTACTAATCTTTTGCTCTTATTGTCATTTTTACTATAGCTCCTATTGTTATTCTTATTAATATTGTTTTATATGTTGGTTGCTTTTCGAGTCTCCTTTACAGGCGATGGCTCTTCGTCGTGAGCTGCACCCAGTAAAGCCTGCCATAAACCCTACCCAAGGGAATCGAATGTCCCAAAAAACCGCGGACCAAAAAGACAATGCTGACCCGTTTAGGTTGTGGGTATTGCTTGTCAGGCTCTTTGGCCAGCCAGATTTCTGGATGTTTGAAGTTTGAAGGTTTTGTTAAAAACCTGCTCGAATATTGGCTTGCCCAGCGCGTCATGAGTGCAAGTCGGGTCGCCTGAGCAAAGGCGAGAGAAGTGCCAGTTGCCGCCTGTGCACGGCTTTATGCCGCAGACGTGTTGACAGGCAGTTTCAGGTGCTAGAGCTTACATGTTTCTAAGGGCTCAATCGACAGCTCAAGAAGCGAAAGCCCCTCGTTTTTGCCATAGAGTTTGCCTCAGCTTGAAATTGCGAAGGCAAGAAGGATAGGCAGGCCAGGGGAGCATGTCATAATTTTCTAGGGCATGTATGTCCTTTTCCCTCAAAGTCACAGGCCACAGGGTTGTGACTTTACAAGAACTGGCATGCCTGTCTCTGTCGTTCCACATGGATGGCTAGACTTCGCAAGCAGCAAGTGTCCACTTGGACCGAAAAGGGCCCCTCCACAACAGGGTGTTGGCACTCGACCTGTGATGCTTCTTTCACAAGGATGGTTCTTCGGTAGAACGCCGCAAGCCTATGGAACAAAATTTGCCTGAGTCGTTGAGAAGGATCCACATCCAGAAACATTGACATTCTCGGCAACACAGGCTTTTTTGCCGCGAGGGTGACGGTTTTCACTGCGATTAAACTGCTTTGCACGAAAGAAAGAGTTGAAAACGAATGCATACATATGTATATATGTATGAAGGGATGTATATGTATATGAATATATATATATATATATATGTATATTTAAGCGACATGTTCCCAGCACCCAGGGAATAGCATCTGCATCACGAGGCCGAGATAGAGCAGCTGGCTCACGCAAGTCGCGCCCTCTGTTTGTTAGGTTAAGGGTTTAGGGTTTCGGGTCTAGTCTCTGTTTGTTGAGAGAAACCGCTTGCCGCTGGTTAGCAGGGAATGAGGGAATTAGGGTCCTATATATTACCCTTTAAGGGATTAACCCCTTCCCCCGAGTACTAAAACCCTCCCCCCCCCCCCCCCTAATTCTAAATCACCTCGGCCGGAACATATTTAAACATTAGGGGGGGACCCGGCAAAAAAAGTACTTAAACTTAGGGTGGGCTTTAGTATTACGGGGAAGGGGATTAGATGTGCAGCCATTCATGCCTCCTCCAGCACTTGCCTTGAGGGTTTGGGGTTTGAGAACTTCGCATTGCCCGGCAGTACCATAGGCCAGGATGCAAAGGGTTTGGATTTGGGGGTTTGGAGTTCGGGAGGTTTGGGGCTTGACTGGCTGGACCAGGCGTAGCCTTCGAGGTTCACAGGTAGTTATATGAGGGGTCGTAAGTAGGGTCATGAGCATAATTGCAACCTGCCTTTCGTACCCATGAACCTTCAAGTAGTGCCCATAACATAAAACTCTTGGACCCTACTTTTGATGCACCGCGCCCCGCCATCTTAGGCAACCTGATCGAGGCTGGTCGCAACTCGATCTCCGCCCGTCTAGGTGCACTCTTCGACGAGTGAGCGGGCGATGTCGTATTTCTAGGATTCGCTGTTCAGGATTTAGGGGTTTGGTTTGAGGCTTTAGCAGCCAGACAAAGTGTATAGAATGAGTTGAACTGTGTTTAAGAACTTCAGGTTTAGGATTTAGCCCCTACTTATAACTATCCAATAACCTCCAAGTCGGCGCTATCAAGTTTGGGGCTCCGGGATCTGCGCATCTGGTCGAAAAGAGCTCATGGCGGAGTACGTCCCCTAAGCCCTAAACCCTAAACCCTAAACCCTAAACCCTAAACCCTAAACCCTAAACCCTAAACCCTGAACCCTAAACCCTAAACCCTAAACACAAGTGAAAAGTAGCCAGGATAACAGTGGAGAATCCACCGGATGTTGAGACCATGTCTCTCATCTGGGATGTTCCCCCTTATACTAGGGGGCACGATATTCCCAATTGAGGACTCTATTAGTATAAGGGGGGACATCCCGATATCTCATGGTTGCATAGTCTCTGATGTTGATTCGCATTTGCCAACGCAGACTTGTCCGTCCTGTAAGGATATTATCTGCCTGCGAGGCCGCATCGCCTAGCTCATGTTCCGGCACTTGGAAAGTTTTCGAGCATTCCCCCCTAAATCCCAAACCCTAAATCCTAAACCCTAAATCCTAACCCCTAAACCCTTGTGAAAAAAGGGTCCCCGGCTTGTCAGGACATGTTCTTGTCGCTACTGAGATATGAGACCATGCAGGAGAGGGTGTCTACTGCTTTAGCTTCCATGCCGTCCGCTCACTCTTCATTTTGCTTCTTGTTATGTACAGTATCATCGGGAAGCTGTGCAGAGCTACGTACTTGAGCGAAAAGAAGCCACATATAATATAATATATGAATGCAAGGCTGGCGATGCTATCCTGAGCCATGCATGCTTCACACCCAACAATCATCTCAATTCTGCTACGCAGCCATTTGCAAGCGTCAGCACGATCTCCCTCCGCGCGAGCAGAACAAAGGTTGGCCATTTCGTTGTAAGAGCCGGGCACCTGGATTCAGCTTGCTGGCCGTGTCGTGTGCAGTTTAGGGTTGAGGTTGTAGACGGTGAAAGGCGAGGCAGGCAGTGGTGAGGTAAGCTCCCACACTACTTGGTACTTGTGCTGCCCTCTTGCTACTTGTACTGCCTTCCCTAAACCCTAAACCCTAAACCCTAAACCCTAAACCCTAAACCCCAAACCCTAAACCCTAAACCCTAAACCCTAGATAAGCTCCGAGGCAAGATGGCGCAGCCCTTCGGCGCTCCTTTCCAGGAGGGTGGACCCGCCAGCGCCCCCAACACCCCGCAGCCGATCCCCCTCCAGCACCCGAGCCCGGGCCCGCTTGGCTCCACTCCCTGTTCCAGCTACTTAGCAGCTGAATGGTTTAGGATTTAGGGTTTAGGGTTTAGGGTTTAGGGTTTAGGGTTTAGGGTTTAGGTTTACACTTTTTGGGCACTATAATCCCCCAATAGAACTGAAAGTGTACACTTTTGTGGGGGGCTTATGAGCTCAGCAGCTAAGGCTACCATGCAAGTCCATCACTGATGCAGCCTGCTTCCGAGCGCCCTGTGCCCAACGCTGGCAACTTCTGGCAGCCGCGCCAGGAGCAGCAGCTCTGGGCTCAGAATCTCCAGAGCCTAAACCCTAAACCCCAAACCCTAAGCCCTAAACCCTAAACCCCAAACCCTAAGCCCTAAACCCCAAACCCTAAACCCTAAACCCCAAACCCTAAACCCTAAACCCTAAACTCGTGTCAGACACTGAGTTGGGCCGCCATGTTGGGAGCCCTTCGCTGAGCTCAGGTTCCCCTGGGCTGGAAATCTGGCTGGAAATTTTGCTTTACCTGCTGACATGGCCGCTTCAGAGGTTCGGACCTTAGGGTTTAGGGCTTAGGGTTTAGGGTTTAGGGTTTAGGGTTTAGGGTTTAGGGTTTAGGGACGACTTAACCACAAACCCTCTAACTCCCAGACGGCTTCAACTTCTACTGTTAAGCTTCGGAAGCCTTGACTTTGTCTGCACCAATAGTACCAGCCCGCACACTCATACTCCCTGGTACCCTTGCCCTGAACCCTAAACCCTAAACCCTAAACCCTAAACCCTAAACCCTAAACACCACGCACCCTCAACTCCTTGGCCTAAGTTCGCCCGCAAGACTCTGCCTTCAGGCCTGAATGCCCAAATTCATCCACAGCCTCGGAGCAAGTGACCCCCAGAAATCCCCAAAGAGTCGCCTATAGGAGGGACACATAGAGGTACCCTCAACCCTCAACCCTCAAACCCTCAAGCCTAAACCCTACACCCTACACCCTCGACCCTAAGCCCTCAACCCTGAACCCTCAACCCTGAACCCTCAACCCTCAACCCTGAACCCTGAACCCTATACCCTAAACCCTAACCCGAAACCCTAAACCCTAAGCTCGATTCGAGAAGCATCGGCCTTGGAGCCCATGCATCCCCTAAGACCCCTGAGCCGGCGCTTTCACTTTGAGGCCATGCTGCGACGGTTCTTTGAAAATGACGCCAGCCCCCAAGGAGTTGCTCAGGGTTTAGGGTTTAGGGTTTAGGGTTTAGGGTTTTGGGTTTAGGGTTTAGGGTTGTACGGTGATGAACTCATTTAGAGCATTGGTATAAGCTCATGTTGATGAGTACAACTTGGGGAGGGGGAGGTGCTGCTTGAAGGCTTTCTTTTTTTAGGGTTGAGGGTTTAGGGTTGAGGGTTGAGGGTTTAGGGTTTAGGGTTTAAGTAGGGTTGCCGATACGCTACCTAAAGAAAAGCCCACGTCTACGTGCCCATGATCCCTCGAAGGTTGGAGGACAAGAGCGCTCGGAGGTCCTGTCTAAAACTTCTTAAGGCCTTAGGGGGTTTGGGGTTTTGGGTTCAGGGTTTAGGGTTGAGGGTTTAGGGTTTTGGGTTTTGGGTTGAAGGTGAACCCTAAACCCGGCTGTCTGCAGGAGACCCTGGATGCAACAAACAAGATCAAAGCACGTTTTCCAAAACGGGCCACATGCGCCCTGAGCGATAGAGGTGTGGTGGCACAAGCGAGTTGCAGCAACATCAGCATCTTCAAGCCAAGTTCTATGCGCTGAACCCTAAACCCGAAACCCTAAAATCTAAACCTGAACCCTAAGCCCCTCAGGCCGGCAGACCTTCCGGCATGGCTGGCGGGGCCTGGCCGGGTCAGAATATCGGCCCGGGGCCTAAATACTTGGGTTTAGGGTTTAGGGGCTGGATTTCCACAGTCTGGGTTCTGTAACCGTACCAATACAGACTTCCCATGAACCTTCAAGCAGGCGAACGGGGCTGAGGTTAGATTGTTCGCCCATTTGGCAACAATCACCACGACATGATCTGGGAATTGGGACCCTAAACCCTAAACCCTCAGACTCTCCAAGTGTTTTCCCAGTGTTCTCTTCAAGCCGGACCTGGGCATTAAAACCTGAAGGCCCCAGGCATTCTGCAACCCTCGCAAGTCGCAAGCGCCCCGTAGCCCCTTTTTTTAGGGTTAATAAGTATAAGGTTCCCTGTAAAAGCCCCTGCAAACCACCCTTTTTATTAGGGGGTTCCAAGGGGCCAAGGGGTTTCGAGGGGTGTCTGAGGGCTTACAAGGGTTCATAAGGGTTTCAAGGGGCTTATAAGGCTTGAATGGGCGACATGTAGAAGCGCTGAGCTTAAAGCCCTACACCCTGTGTTCCCAAGTTTGCTGGCCCGTTTGGGTTTACCACCCTAAACCCTAAACCCTAAACCGTAAACCCTAAACCACCCGAAGCCCAGTTGTCCTATAAACCCGGAACCCTAAACCCTGGCACTAAACCCTAGACCCGAAACGCTTGCAGAAACCCTAAACCCTAAGCCCAGAACAGAAATAAAAGGCATGCCTGAGATGGCCGGCGCAGCCCACACCGCAATGGAGGTGCCACCACGCGTCGGTGACCCCTGACTCGGACCCATACAAGCCCCTTGCAGGCCTTTAAACCAGAAAGATTCCCAGGTGAGTCTTAGGTCTAGCTGATTCAGCACATGAAGACAGGTTTGGATTCTTTACCTGGGCTCGAAACAAGTACCCAACATTCACGCGCCTAGAAGCCCTTTAGCAGGAGTCGAAATCGAAGCTTCTGAAACCACCCATTTCCTTACACCACTGTTTCGCTTACTCACGCTAAAGCCGACCAACTCTGATCCTCTCAACGTGGTGTGTCAAGGGCGGAGAGCTTCGTTGCTTTAGGTACCAAGTGTGCAATAAGGAAGAGATAGAGCCCCGATGGTCGGTTTTGTTGGGTTTTTTTTCGGGTGTAAGTTGAAGCCTTTAACAGAGATTTGAGGAGTTGGGCTTGTTGGGGGTCTGAGGGTGGCCTCAGTACGGGTTCAAAGGGTGTTGTTGGCTTTGGGCTGTTTGGTTTTAGATGGCTTCAGGGCGTCTCGGGCTTCTCTGAAGTTCATAGGGCGTTCGGGCTTTCAGGGTGTGCTTTTGCTTTTTGTTTATTTGATTGTTGAATTGGTTTGGTTTGTTTGTTTGTTTTGATCCGTTTGTTTGTTTTGTTTGTTCGTTTGTTTGTTTGTTTCTTTGTTGTTTTGGTTAGTTTCTTTCTTTGCATTGTTATTTTGCTTGTTTCTTTTGTTTGTTTGTTTGCAGGTTCGTTTGTTTGCTCGCTTGATTGAAACTTACCCAAAAGCCCCGCTGCAGGCAATGCCCGGCATGGCCGCGGAAGGCCCGAGAGGCAACTCATCGTCGGGAGGCGTTATCTATATACCCCTTGGGAATTTTATCTTTGTATGTCTAGAAAACCCAAAGAACCATTTTTATTTTGATTTCTATACAACCCAAGGGAATATGAAAATGCACCGTGTTTTTCCTATGAAGGTTCTAAGGGGGTACAGTAATGATTAGAAAACTGGCCAAATAGATGCGCGCATGAACAACCTGTGAATTCTCTAATCGCGACAGGTTTTTTTTTTTAACCATGAAGGCAGCAAATGCTTGCGCACGGCTTAACTAATACATGATTGGTGCACGAAGAATCCGTACTTTTTTCTGCTGCCTGAATATGCAACAGGATCTCGAACATGAATAATGGGTTTTTTGTTCCCCAAACGACTTAAATAAGCAAATGAAAGAAACACAACATTTAACCTGTCAACTTAGTCATAGCAAGATCATCAGTGCTTACACATTCTTTTCCCATGTGCATGTTGCACCTCTCTTTCTCTCATTCCGGTAGAACACCCCATCTATTTCCATACCCCGCCTTGCACGAGTGTGAGACCCTAAGCCCTAAATTGTGTAAGTTGGGATGTTCCCCCTGAAACGACCAGTCCTTAATAGGATTTATATAGGGGATGATACTCTCATCCCTGACTGTACTGTTAGTCTCAGGGGGAACATCCCAAGAGAGTGCTCTTGTGCTGAGGGTTTAGGGCTTAGGGCTTTAGGGTGGTGGTTTTCTGTTGGATACGGCTTGAGAAACGTGAAGACCCAGACAGGAATTAGGGTCCAAGCTCTCGTCAAAGCCAAAGCGCCTGTGCATCCAAGGCCCCCCCCCTCTCCCCCGGAAATCCGAACATGTCTTTAAATGTAGGGTTTAAGGTTTAGGGTTAGGGTTTGGGGTTTAGGGTTAGGGATTTGGGTTGAGGGTTTAGGGTTTAGGTTTAGGGTTCCTGCATGTTGCTTGCTTCTTTGCATCTCAGGCCGGAGCCTCAGCAGTCCTGGGTTAAAAAAGCGGGGGTTTAGGGTTTAGGGTTTAGGGTTTAGGGTTTAGGGTTTAGGGTTTAGGGTTTAGGGTTTAGGGTTTAGGGTTTAGGGTTTAGGGTTTAGGGCCCTTAGCCCCGAACCCTGCAGTGACTAGTCCGTGTGCCGCAGGACTCGAAGCCCAGGCACGCGCCTCAGGGGCAGAGGGAGGGCAGGGCCGGCTGTGAAAACGAGAGCTCTGCAGCTGTCGAACGCGAACACCTCAAGGGTTGAGGGTTTAGGGTTTAGGGTTTTGCAGCTTTAGGCTTCGAGGGACACCTTGGTTTCATCAGCTTGCAGCTCGGGGGTTTAGCTTCAGCGGGCTTTTAGGTTTTGGGGCTTGGGGTTTAGGGTTTAGGGTTTAGGGTTTAGGGTTTAGAAAAAAGGGTGGGTTTAGGGTCTCCTGAATTTTGCTCGGTGTGCGAATCTGCCTTTGTTGGTACGGACTCCCGGCATGCTGGGGTTTTAAGGTTTATAGGATTTATAGGGTTTATAGGGTTTATAGGGTTTATAGGGTTCATAGGGTTCATAGGGTTTATAGGGTTTATAGGGTTCATAGGGTTTATAGGGTTTATAGGGTTCATAGGGTTTATAGGGTTCATGGGGTTTATAGGGTTTACAGTTTACAGGCAGGGTTTGCAGGGTTTGTTTGGTTTTGTTAGGGTTTGTGGTGTTTATAGTGTTTTGCTGCCTCCACCGACACCCCTCAGCTGACCCACTCAGAGGCTACAAAGATTATGGTGAACCCGGGGGGACGTGTTTGGGTTTGGCACATTCACGCGTCAATAAAGGAGAGCAGAAACACCCAGAATCACCACGTTTTTTGGAGAGATCTAGCCGATTGCGGGCATGCGCCCGCATGCTGGCAAGACCAGACTATGTATGGGCTTCGACTGGCAGAGAAACTCATGGTCATACTCTGTGCGCGAGTTTCAAGGTGCTACTGCGTGCGCGAGTTTCAAAGGGCCTTGCATGCGTATGCACAAGCAGTCAGGCGGCTCAGGCCACGTGATCCCAGCCAACAGCCCTTAATTGGCAGTTCATTCCCTAAACCCCTAAACCCCTAAACCCCGAAACCCCTAAACCCCTAAACCCCTAAACCCCTAAACCCCTAAACGCCTAAACCCCTAAACCCCTAAACCCCTAAACCCCTAAACCCCTAAACCCCTAAACCCTAAACCCAGATGTGCCATAGATTCAGCACAGGCGGCTGCAGTGACAACTGGACCACCGCCTGGCCTCTTTCTCAAAGCACCGGAAGACGAGGACGAGGAATCTCGCCAGCTGTCTTTTTTCTCCGTTTTTGGTAGCCAGGTGCCTTTTTTTCCGTTTTTGGTATTCTCCTTCTGGCAGATTTCTTCACAGGGGGCTTGAGGGTTCGGAATTTGGGGCCTCAGGGGGTTACAGTAGGGAAGAGGGTTCAGAATTTGGGGGCTTTGGGGGTTAGGGAAGGGGCAGCTTCAGGGGGAGCTTGTTCAAGACCCCTTTTGCAGCCCTTGGAAGCTGTATACTAGGCATGTGGCACCATGCGCAACACGACGAAGCCCTAACATCCCTACATCCCTAAGCCCTAAGCCCTAAACCCTAAACCCTAAACCCTACATCAAAACATCCAATGATGAGGATCCTGACAGGGGTCTTGCGGAACACATGTCGCGTGGCACTCAGCGAGTTTATCAGGGTTTAGGGTTTAGGGTTTAGGGTTTAGAGTTGTTGAGTTGTTGCATGGCTTCTAATGTGTGAGGTTCAGGCCTGCAAGGGGCTTCACAGTGGGGCCAGGGTCTGTTGTACCCTAAACCCTAAAGCCTAAACCCTAAACCCTAAACCCTAAACCGAACCCTAAACCCTAAACCCCAAACCCTAAACCCTAAACCGCAGCCTGGAGGGATGGTCGCTGTGTGTTCACACCGATGGCCACGCGAGGCTTGCTGTCGCGCAGTTCCTTGCGGGTGGAGATTTCGATGACGAGGAGGAGTGGTTTAGGGTTTAGGGTTTAGGGTTTAGGGCTTTTAGGGTTTAGGGTTTAGGGCTTAGGGCTTTTAGGGTTTAGGGTTCAGGGTGTAGGGTAAAGGGTTTAGGGCCCCAGCAGACAGTCCAAATGCCAGACTAAAGCACTAGCTCGCTTGCAACTCGAATTCCAAATTCAGCACTTCACTCCTCCCCCGATCCTTAAACCTCACCTAGGACCTTAAAAAACTCAAATGCAAAAACCATATGCTACCACTTTTGTCGTTTTTTGGGCATCTCCCGAGCCCAACCCCTCCCACTAATCTTCTACCGGCTAGACTTTCGTGGGCCCTAAAAGTGTAAGAGCACTAGGGTGCGCAAGGCGATCAAGAATAATCCAAGTGCACCCTCAGCACTCCAGCAATGCGATTGCAGATACGGCCCGCAAATAAACCCTAAGCCCAAAACCCTCTCAAGGAAGCCTTTACCTGAAAAGGAGTCGTTCCCGCTTCCAAGGAACTTCGTCCTCTTATACTCTTATACCGTGACACACATTACGGTACCACCCCGCCACGTGGTGCGCGGCGTCTTTTGGCGCTCCAAGACACGAAAAAAAAAACACACACACACACACATCACCCAACGTGCGCTTGTATTGCAGCTCGCACGACACGAAAACCTTGTGTTTCGTGGGGAGGGGAGAGAAGAGCCCACAATAAGAATGTAGAGGTTGATAATTATTCCAGAAGTTTTACTTGTATGGATTAGGTAGAGCGATTAAGCCTTGCACAATAGTGTCCGTAAAGTTGTATGGCTTTCGCTAGGGCTAGTACGATTCTTTGTGTATGTTCGGGATTTTTTAGTTCAGTTTTGTTTAGACAGAGATAATATACTTCTTCTTCTCACTGTTCGCAGCTTGCCAAGCAGAGATGAAGTCCTCCACTAGACAACACCCATCTCCCTAAACCCTAATTAAACCCTAAACCCTAAACCCTAATTAAACCCTAAACCCTAAACCCTAATTAAACCCTAAACCCTAAACCCTAAACCCTAAACCCTAAACCCTAAACCCTAAACCCTAAACCCTAAACCCTAAACCCTAAACCCTAAACCCTAAACCCTAAACCCTAAACCCTAAACCCTAAACCCTAAACCCTAATAAACCCTAAACCCTAAACCCTAAACCCTAAACCCTAAACCCTAAACCCTAAACCCTAAACCCTAAACCCTAAACCCTAAACCCTAAACCCTAAACCTTACCTGGGACTCTGCTTACCCACAGCTACTTGCCGCCAGCTCTCGTCCTTTTAAGCTGCCGGTGGATCGAGTCCGCCGTCGATACCCTACACCTTACTTCAAAGTTCATGGGTAGTTATAAGTAGGAATTACAAGGACCCTACAGAAGGTTACCTATCACCCTACTTGCAACTCCCCAAGAACCTCCAAGTACACCCCCAAACCTTAAACCCAAATCCCTAGACTGCAGGAGAGCGACACAGAACCTTCACGAGATCCACTGCTCAGTGGGGTCACCGACCCCAGAGGGGCTTTTGCAGGGTTTAGGGTTTAGGGTTGAGGGTTGAGGGTTGAGGGTTTAGGACCCTAAACCCTAAGCCCTAAGCCCTACAGACCCTAAACCCTTTTGTGGATTCGGGATTTGGGGTTGAGGTGTCAGGGTCACATGCCTCGGCCTGGGTTCAGAAAAGGTGTCAGGGCTGAGGGGTGCTTGAGATGTAATGAGGGCACCCGGTTGCAAAAGAGAGAGAGAGAGCGAGAGATAAAAACAAATGTTTCAAGTCGAGTCCTATACACCCCAAAAATTGAAGGCGCCGGTACTCCGAACATTAACCATCAACCCCCAATCCATGCTACCCCAAGAACTCCCATAACGTACAAAGCGTGGCTCAAAAGGCCAGTAGTTGCATGCAAGCCCCACCCCCCGGATATCTCTCTCTCTCTCTCTCTCTCTCTGCTGAGAGCGCACTGCCTCATCGCATCTTCAAGTCTTCAAGCCTTCAAGCCCCATCTCCTAAACCTTCCTAAACTCCAAACCCTGGCACCTCTTCTCCAGGCCCCCAGCAACTTGCTCCCGCAAGCGATGCCGGAGGTTGGGCGTTGTTCTGTTCGGAGCTTTGCAAAATTCACTCGAATGTTTGTTAAAAATTCAAAATGCATCCGGGCTGCAGCCGACATTGGCCCGCGCACGTCACCCGCATAGCCATCTCTCTAAGCTGCTGTGCCGCACCTCAGAGTGCCGCTCCTTGTCGCACCTTCAAGCCTTCAAGTCTCCAAGACCCATGTCTTCAAACTTTGGGATTTAGGTTTTAGGGTTTAGGGTTTAGGATTTAGGGTTTAGGGTTTGGGGTTTAAAGCTCTCCAGGCTGCCAGCAGCTTGCTCCCGCAAACGATGCCGGAGGTCGGGTGCTTTTTCCTTGCAGCAGCCCGGGCTCCTAAGGGTTTTGCTCGCATGTCTATACAGTAAACCCCCCAAAAGTTGGAACCCTTTTTAAGGACAAATATAGTACTGGGATTCCATATGCTTTATACTCTTAGGGATTGAGGCTCTCGAGTTTCCAACTTTTTGGCTTCGACTATAGAGCAGTTCTTGCTGGCCTTCTCCAGGCCACCAGCATGATGTTCCCGCAGTTGGCCCCGGAGGTTGGTGATGCTCTTGAGGGCATTTGCAGGCTTTGCAGGGCTTTGCACAGATTCCTTGAACGTCTTTTTCCAGCGGTGAAGTTGAGGCCTAAGTTAAGGATAGTGACTCCGGGACAGAACCCCAACCGCATTTCCATCTCTGAGCTGCTGTGCCACGCCTCAAAGTTTCGCGCCCTATCGCAATATCAAGTCTTCAAGTCTTCAAAGCCCATCTTCTAACCTGCCCTAAGCCCTAAGCTCCAAACTCTGACCCAGTCGGCCCTTCTCCAGGCCGCCAGCACCTTGCTTTCGCAAACGATGCCGGAGGTTGGGTGTTTTTCCCTTGCAGCAGCACGGGCTCCTGAGGGCTTTGCGGAGTTTGCTCAAATGTCTATATAGCAGTGGAGTGCTGGCCTTCCTCCAGGCCACCAGCGCGCTGTTCCCGCAACTGACGCCGGAGGTTGGGCGATGCTCTGGAGGGCGACTGCAGGATTTTCATGGCTTTGCAGAGATTCCGAATGCTTAAAGCGGTTCAGTTTAGGCCTAGGATGTAGAGATGGGTCTCGGCATGTCTGGGCGGCTGCAGGCCCACGTACGCCGAGTCCCAGCCATCAAGCTCTCGTGATAGCATGTGATAGTGACTCCGGGACAGAACCCCACCCGCGTATCCATCTCTCTGCCCTAGCGCATTATCAAGTCTTCAAGTCTTCAAAGCCCATCTTCTAAACTGCCCTAAGCCCTAAGCTCCAAACCCTGACACTGTCGGCCCTTCTCCAGGCCGCCAGAACCTTGCTTTCGCAAACGATGCCGGAGGTTGGGTGTTTCCCCTTGCAGCAGCGCGGGCTCTTGAGGGCTCTGCGGAGTTTGCTCAAATGTCTATATAGCAATGGAGTGCTGGCCTTCCTCCAGGCCACCAGCGCGCTGTTCTCACAACTGACGCCGGAGGTTGGGCGATGCTCTGGAGGGCGGTTGCAGGATTTTCATGGCTTTGCAGAGATTCCGAATGCTTAAAGCGGTTCAGTTTAGGCCCAGGATGTAGACGTGGGCGGCTTCAGGCCCACATACGCCGAGTCCCAGCCATCAAGCTCTCGTGATAGCATGTGATAGTGACTCCGGGACAGAACCCCAACCGCATATCCATCTCTCTGAGCTGCTGTGCCACGCCTCAAAGTTTCGCGCCCTATCGCATTATTAAGTCTTCAAGTCTTCAAAGCCCATCTTCTAAACTGCCCTAAGCCCTAAGCTCCAAACCCTGACCCTGTTGGCCCTTCTCCAGGCCGCCAGCACCTTACTTTCGCAAACGATGCCGGAGGTTGGGTGTTTTTCCCTTGCAGCAGCACGGGCTCCTGAGGGCTTGCGGAGTTTGCTCAAATGTCTATATAGCAGTGGAGTGCTGGCCCTCTCGTGATATTGTGGATGGACAACATCTTGCGCCACTTTTCAGAAACATCTTTTTGTGTTCCACGTGCCACCTTTTCAACACTGGCTGTGAAAAGCCACCGGCCGGATTTACTCCAATGGCCGAAATCTTGCACCGCTCAAGTAGTCCTAGCCGCCAATGTTAAGGAGGGGGTGCGGGGCTTGATGCCTCAGTCGTTTGAAGTACGCATGTACAGGCGGTGCAAGATTTCGCCCATCCACCGTAGCATGTGATAGCAGAACAGAACCCCCGCCCGCATATCCATCTCTCTGAGCTGCCCTGCCACGCCTTCAAATGTCGCGCCTTATCGCATCTTCAAGTCTTGAAGTCTTCATGGCCCATCTCCTAAACCGCCCTAGGCCTAAACTCCAAACCCTGGCACTGGCCGCCCTTCTCCAGGCCACCAGCAACTTGCTGCCGCAAACGACGCCGGAGGTTGGATGTTGTTCGCTTGAGTGCTCTGCAGAATTCACTCGAAAATTTATAATCTAAGGGCTAGCGCCACGTCTACTGACCCCGTAAGAGCTGCCAGGGTCCAGGCGCACAGCAGCGGGGCAAGCAGACAGGCAGCAGGCACAGCACAAAGGAAGGTCGGCCATGCCAGGTGGGGGGGGGGCGGGGGAGGGCCAAAAAAGCTGCGCGGCTTGCGGGGTGGGATCAATGCGCGAGGAGGTTTGGGCGGAGGCGAGAAGGGCTGGTCGGGTTTGTGGGGCGAAGTTGGGCTCACGTGGTTCTACATCCGGGGAGGGCAGGTGGGCCGCTTGTGCGGGAGTAGGCGAGAGGGTGACAAGGGTTGTGTGAAGGGCTTGAGGGAGGGCTCGCACAAATTTGCGTCAGGAAAAAGAAAACTCTGGCGTGGCGATTTTTTGTGGGTCGGTTGTTTTGGGGGGGTAGTGACGGTCTGGTTTCACCGACCGAGCAGCGGACCCAGCAACTTGGACAAAACAGGAAAGATGAATCAGAAAAGCGTCGATACTTGGTCGGTCATCCAGCTCGAGAAAAATTCTCCCTGTGTGCAGCGGAGCCATCAGCTCGCCTGCCTCTGCTCACCGGACGGTCTATCCCTGCCCGGTGGCTCCTCCCCGCCCTGAGCCGACATCTGCCTACTATTTGCTTAAGAACTCGCGAAAAACACAAAATAGTAATCCTTATATTGCCCTTATAAGGAAGAATATGTTTTTACTTTTTTGGGGTTCTTAAGCAATTACTAGCTGCGAAAGCGGCACAAGCCCTTCACTGGCGCTCGCCCCCAGCTTGCCGGGGTCGGCGGATATAGCGGTGAAGTTGACGCCTATATGCTACGGATTTAGAGATGGGTCCTGGCCGCGGCTGACATCTGGCCCGCGCACGTCACCCGCATAGAGCTGCTGTGCCACACCTCAGAGCGCCACACCTTATCGATCCTTCGAGTCTTCAAGGCCCATCCCCTAAACTGCCCTAAGCCCGAAGCTCCAAACCCTGACACTGGCCGCCCTTTTCCAGGCCCCCAGCAACTTGCTCCCGCAAACGATGCCGGAGGTTGGGCGTTGTTCTCCTGAGGGCTTTGCAGGGTCACGCGGATGTGTATATACATACAGTTTCTATATATATATATATGTATATATATACATATTTTTTGCAGTGAAGTTGAGGCCTAAATTAAGGATGTAAAGATGCGTCCTGGCAGCAGCTGCCACTTGGGCCGCGCAAGTCACCCACATATTCATCTCTCTAAGCTGCTGTGCCAGGCCGCCAGCACCGTGCCGCCAACGAAGGCGGAGGTCAGGCATTGTTCAAGGTTTAGGGTTGAGGGTTTAGGGTTTAGGGGTTTGCTGAGTTCGCTCAAGTGTCTATTCAGTGGTTCAGTGCCGGCCTTCTCCAGGTCGCCAGCGCCGCCAAGAGAATGTTCCCGCAAGTGACGCCGCAGGTTGGGTGATTTTCTTGAGGGCAGTGCAGGCTTTGCAGATCTCTGCAGGGCTATGCAGAGATTCCCGAAATGTCTTTGTAGTGGTTAAGTTGAGGCCACGTCAAGGGTTTAGAGATGAGTCCTGGCTGCAGCTTACATTTGGCCCCATATCCGTCTCATTCCATCTCTCTAAGCAAATTGCCGCGCCTTATCTCATCTTCCAGTCCTCAAGTCTTCATGCAAACACTGGCTGCCCTTCTCCAGGTCGCCGTCTTGCTCTCCCGAATGACGCCGGAGGTTGGGCACTGCTTTTAAAACTTTTGAGGGCTTTGCAGAGTTTGCTTAAAGGTCTGTATAGCGGCGAAGTTTAGGGCTAAGTTAAACCATTTTTCTTGCATGTCAAATCCAAGACATGAAGCAGAGGCGACAGTGACTTTGGCACAAACCTACATAAGCCGAGCATGCAGGAGCCCCCACCCCCCTCCACCCCCTCCACCCCTCCACCCCGAAACCCCGGCTCTCCATGTCTCCAGGGTGCTGTGCCACACTCCAGTATGGGTTTAGGGTTTAGGTTTTAGGGTTTAGGGGTTTAGGGTTTACGGTTCAGGGTTTAGGTTTTAGGGTTTAGGGTTGGTTGCACAACGCCTTGTGGCATCTTCAAGTCGTCTTCTAAACTGCCCTAAACACCAAACCGGCCTTCTCCAGGCCGTCAGCACCCTGCTCCCGCATATGTCGCCGGAGGCTGGCTGTTGTTCTTGAATGTGGGATTTTGCGGTTTAGGTTTGGGGGTTTAGGGTTTAGGGTTTTCTGGAGGGCTTTGCAGAGATTCCTCGAATGTCTATGCAGCGGTGCAGTTTGTGGGCCCGTATGTCCTTTTTTTAGGGTTTTTATTCCTAGGTTACTCCTGGGTCTAGTAGTTCAAGGATGTTAAGATGGGTCCAGGCAACGCAACTGACCTTGGACCCACACACGTCAAGTCCAAGGCATGAAGCAGCGGTGATAAGCGACTTGGGACTAGCCACTGCCTGAAGCACCTCAAAACCCAGTAAACCCTAAACCCCTAAACCCTAAACCCTGAACCCTAAACCCTAAACCCTAAACCCTAAACCCTAAACCCCAACACTGGCCGGCGCCTTCTCCAGGCGGTCCGTGCCTTGCAGTCGCGAGTGATGCCGGAGGTGGGGTATTTGCTTTTGACGCCTTTCAAGGCATCTGAGTTTGCTCGGGTGCTCACACCACCACTGCTGGTATGGGGGTTTACGAAAACAGGGGCACCCCCTTTTTATACCCCAAATATAATAGAGGCCCCCAACAGGGCACCCCCATTGTCTACTAAGGGATTTACTACTTGCAGATTCATGGGTAGTTATAGGTTATAAGTACCCTAAGTAAGGTTATAAGTATAGTTACCCTACTTGTAACCCCACTTTTTAAGTACCCAGGAACCTCCAAGTAAGTGAGGGGTTTGGATGTTGGTGGCCTCGGCTGCAGCTGACAGTTGGCCCTGGCACATCTTGTCCAAACCATGACTGGCTATAGCGGCTGCGAGACGATGGCCTGGGCTTCAAAAAACCCAGCCTGAAGCTTTGACAAAAACGCCCCTTGAGCCCACAATTTCCCCATGAACCCTAAACCCTAAACCCTAAACCCTAAACCCTAAACCCTAAACCCTAAACCTCCATAGTGTCGGACATGGCCAGGACCCTTCGAGACTCGAGGCTGCCGCAGCGGCTGCTGCGATGCGCAGAGGCTACTGATGCAGCACTGTGGACGTTGTCGTGGTTTGGCCTCTCGCTTTTTGGTTCCTACAGGGTGTTCAGCTCTTGGGATACCTTGGTTTTCAGGCGTGACCGTTTTGCTAGGGTAGGCTCTGACAAGTGCTCAGGCTTGCCAATAACTGCTGTACGGCCGTGCAGCCTCAAGACAGCAAATCACCGACAAAAGGTAGAAAGCCAGACGGCAAGTTTGCCCTACATTCTAGTCCAACCTCGTTGCCGAGAATAACTGTAAACCCTAAACCCCTCAACTCCCCTGTCCTAGCATGCTCAGCTTAAATGGAGTACGATACGATGCAGCGTCAGCATTGAGCACCCACCGAAATTCATGTGATTTGGGCCCAATGAGGGGTATATATCTCCTGAGGCGGTTGTAAAACCCTAAACCCTAAACCCTAAACCCTAAACCCTAAGGCAGCCTATAGAGCCGGCTGCACCCAAGTCCCTGCGCTTGCGCAGACGGATGCAGACCTAGCGAGACCCCGATGCCCAAGATTAGCCCCCAGAGAGCCCAGTACTCCTTAATTAAGGAATACAATTAAAGAATATAATTAAGGAATATAATTAAGGAATATACCTTAAATTTTAAAGGGATCCTGATTATGATTTAAGGAATATTGCTTAATTAAGGGGTATTGGGCTCTTTGCCCCCCCCACCCCCCCCACCACCATTTTTCCACAATTCACAGGTCCCTACATGCCAGGACCCGGCATTGAGATGGCTGTTTGTGTCTGAGAGTGCAGCCTGCGGCTGTTGTGTGAACAGGGTCAAACCTGTACTTGGAGGTTCAAGGGTAGTTCTAAGCAGGGTAAGAAGCCCTAAGTAAGGCCATAAAGTATAGTCACCCTACTCATTGCCCCACTTAGAACTGCCCATGAACCTCCAAATGGTTGTGAGCAGCACTCTGTATTTCGGAGGCCCCCAATACGTGTCAACAAAGCCACACTGAGCTAGCGATAGCGGCTAGAATCGGATCTGACTGGTGAACCCTAAACCTTAAACCCTAAACCCTAAACCCTAAACCCTTTTCCATGGCCTGCAGGACTCGTGTCAGCTTCTACGCCGGACGGTCAGCAGGCACATGTGAACTGGAGATTTCCAATCTGCATCCTGGGTACCCAAAGAGCCCTGTCCCCCTTGAATGGTCCGTCTGACCCCGAAAATTATGGCGTTCATGCGGTGCGGGTTCCACGGTCCTCCATGGAAAGTTGCCCGGCACCCTCCGCCCAAACCTCCAGCTTTCGGAGGTGCACGAATTTTTCAGAACCGCCAACACGCCGCCGCAGGGTTGACGGATGTGCACGAGGGCTTGATACCCCGAAATCCTTTGTCGGCAGGCGGCGATGGCCCTGGTCGGCGGCCCAAGTTCTCCTGGGGTGTAGAGGCTTTTTTGCCCGCAACCCGGAGCTTACAGAAAGTGCAGGTAATGCCTACCTTGACGGGTGCTGTAGGCTCTTGAATATGGGGTATCACCGGAACAGGAGTACTGTGGGGGTAATGGCGCGCTGACGTGATGGAACGGAAGCGCACCACATGTGTGGCAAAGGCTATATGTGCCGCCTTGAAAGACGGTTTCGAGTCAACTGTGCATCTTCTGTGGACTAGCCAAACAACCTTTTCACAGTAACCCGAGTTTTTGGGCAGCTAGGTTAGTCGTACCTTTTTGCTTCTTGTAGCTTTCGGGTTTTGGGAGGCTTGAATCGTGGCCCCGGCCAAGGTACATGCGTTTTTGGAGCTTTGAAACCGTAGGTTTGTTTGGGTTTGCGGAGGCGTGAACAAATCTCTTGCCAAAGAACTGACAGGCAGGAAAATGGTTCGATATGTTGCGCAGCAGGACAGCGAAGAGAGACATGATTTCATCATTGGTTGGTGACTGGCCCACCCATTAGGCCATCCAAAATCAAACATTAAAAACGGCATGAAGGGTTCGAGTGTTCGGATTGTATGAGTTGGGATGTTCCTCCTTATACACACAGTCCTTAATAGGGATTCTAGTACCCCCTATAAATAATCCCCATGAAGGAGCTGTTAGTATAAGGGGGAACAAACCCTAAACGCTAAACCCTAAGCCCTAAACCCTAAACCCACATTGTCTGAGTCATTCCTGGCCATTGGGGCCGATGTCCAGAACTTCGTCGGACCAACAGCGCGCCGGCCCTTAAACCGCCAGAGACTCCCACTTGCGGCTTCCCGCGAACACTCAAAAAACCCTCAACCCTAAACTCTAAACCCTAAACCCTAAACCCTAAACTCAAAGAGAAGCGAAGAGGTTGGGGATGCCTCGGCTCCATCCTCGCTACCACAGTCTCCAGCGCCTTGGGAGAGGACATGACTCACCTTAGGGTTTAGGGTTTGGGGTTTAGGGTTTAGGGTTTAGGGTTTAGTTTTTGGGGTCCCTTTTTAAGGATCCCTAAGGGAATATAAGGGCCATATTAGGAGTATATTCAGGGGAACCTTTAGGGGTACAACCTTAGGGGTACGAGTCTTCATCCCTTGATTTAGGGTTTGCGTGATGTTTTGCGTGATGTGACTTCTAAGAAGTTGCATGTTTGCCGGCAGCCTCCAAAGTCCGTTGCTCAAAAGGGTTTAGGGTTTAGGGCTACCTTGTTTGTAGCCCTTGGTAGCCCAGTGGTACCTTTTACTCCTTTTTTGGTTGTGGGTTCCCTTATAAAGCAACCAACCCCAAAAAGCGTGCCCTTGTTATCCGATGGTTGCTGGGCTGGCAAGAGTCTCTTGCTATAAAACCCCTCATAGGGTTCTGAGGCAGCCTACCAAAGGAGGCCTTTGGGTTCTTAAAGTACTTCCAAAAGAAATCCTGGACCCCGACAGCAGCTTTGGAATGTTGGATGGCAGTGTATTCTGTTGCTTGCAACTCCTGAAAGCTCCGCGGGGCAGACTCTTTTCTGCTACGTAACTTTGACCAAGACACCCATCAACCTTGAAGCCCTACTCCGAAACTTCTAAACCCCCCAGACATGCCCTGTTCGACTTTGGACGAAGGTTTTTTTTTTTTTTTTCCGGTTTTAGGGTGCTGAACCTTCTACATTCCGGGTTTAGGGGGTTTAGGGAATTAGGGGATTTAGGGGGTTTAGGGTTTAGGGCTAGGGGGGTTGGGCCACCTCAAGGTGCCATGCGCGCTGGGCCAGACGTCTCCAGTACCGATGATGGGTGTCCCACAGCCTGTGCCTGTGCCAATGCAGAGGCCTTACTGTCGGTTTAGGGTTTAGGGTTTAAGTTTAGGGTTTAGGGTTTAGGGGTTAGGGGTCAGGGTTCAGGGTTCAGGGTTCAGGGTTCAGGGTTTAGGAGGGAATGAGGTACCCTAGATCCCCCAAAAATACTTACCCTTTAAGGGATGAAATGAGGTGCCGATGCAGAGGTGGGGCTGTGTGCGTAATATGGGGTCTCGGAAAAATTAGGTCCCTTTATGCATATTTTGTAACAACCCCAAAGCCCTGTTCTAATTATTATTAAGGCCCGTGTTTTTTCATCCTCCACCCCCCCTCCACCCCCCTCGGTCCTCCTCCTCTCCCTCCCCTTTGAACGAGCCTAGTAATGAAGCATAAACGCGTTAGGAAGTCACGAGTTTTAGGGAACATCGGCTTCTACTTGTACCCTATGTTGGAGTGGCTGTGCAAGTTTCGCCGTGCAGCGGTGACGTGCGACTCGAAGCAAGCTGCGTCCCCGCTTGAATGAGTTGAGTTGGAGTTGTCCTCACGAGTTTTTCTTTCCTTCCCCTCCACAAAGAAGCCCAAACCCGAAACACCTGCCCCAAGCAGGGTGCCGCCAGCTGCTGCGCCCGTGTCTCTCCCAGACACAAAGGGTTTCGGGGTTCGGTGGGAAGTCGGGACCCAGTACTGGTTTGATTAGGTTTACAGGTCTTGGGGGGTTATGTTTTGGTTTCCGGCATCCTCATGTCTTTATATGAGCATCTTGCATCTTAACATGCACATGGAGCTCAGAATTGAAATCCCCAGCGCAGCACAGGGGACCTCCTGAGGAAGAGAATCCCTTCCTTCCAACCATAGCCATTCGCATGAGTGCTTGTAGCGCATTCGGCGCAGGTCTGTGATTAAACTTGGGGCTTGAAGACGCCTGCAAACCCTACAGTGACTCCGACTCTGACTCTCTCTCTCTCTCTCTCTTTGCAAAACGAAACCTGTTTGGTCAGTTCCCTCGCCGCCTTATCACAGTAACTCCTAAAGGGACCATAGTTTCGAAAACTGACCATTTAAAAGCCTTTAGCCTCTTCTTCATGGTTCTCCACGAGGTCTCCGGTTGCAAAAACTCCCCCCCCCCCAAGCACTACTTGGGGGTTTAGGGTGTAGGGCTACTTGCAGGTTCATGGGTAGTTCTAAGTGGTGTTATCAGTAGGGTAGCTAGAATTATAGCTGGTTATAACCTTACTTAGGGTACTTACAACCCTACTTATAACTACCCGTGAACCTTCAAGTAGCCCTAGACCCTTTTCCCCAAATCCTAAACCCCAAACCCTAAACCCTACACCCTCTACTTTTAGACTGCTGCGGATTTTCAGGGCTCTGGGTTTCCCGCCCAAAACCCTTAAACTCCTGAGTTCAAATCGAGCGGGGCTTTGCAGTTTGTGCATAATTTCAGGGTTGTGCGGTTCGGACTTGCGGGTTTGAGGGTGGGGGGTCTGTAACTTTTGCAGTTTGGCAGGGTTGTCTTGCCCGGCGAGAGGATAGCATGGTTGCGATATTCGCTACGGCAAAGACGTCATCATTTACTGGGGTGACGGTGCCACCCTAAGCTCAGAAATGGGTCATTGTTGGAAATCATTTTACATCTTCATAAATGCTTTAACCCAAGAAGGAGCAAGTATGATGATTTGTAGAAGTACCCCAACAATGGTGCAGAGTTTGAGATGAGATAGTTTAGACCCTGCAACAAACCCTTCGCTGGTGTTCCGAGGCCGTGCCCGGTGCGGCCTTTCTCCAGGCCAAGGGAGTTGAGGTTTCGGGGAACCCTAAACCCTAAACCCCTAAACCCTATAACCTATAACCCTTAACTTTAACCCTTAACCCTAAACCCTAAACCCTAAACCCTAAAAGCATGCCCCGAGCCAACGCCTAGGACTTATCTTATGAAGCCATTTCGGACTTACAGCCTTTTGGGGAACTCCCCCGCGTCTGGCGAGACCAAGGAAGCTGGTTATTTGGGTTTTTTGTGTCGAAGGGGTTTGCGGCTTGGGAGTTGATCAGTTGTGCAATGCTGAGGCGTGGCCTTAAATGTGCGTTTTCAGGGCCATGACGGTTCCAGGGGTGTCTGGGGGCTGTTAGGAACATGCTCTTGCGCTGCGAGGAGGGGTCTTTATAGGTTTAGCGCGTCTGGGCTACCGTCCTTTGCAGGTGAGTGGACTCTATCTCGGGCTAAGGGAACATAAGGGCCAGATTAAGAGGATGTAAGGGAACCTTTTAGGGGCACATCCTCATGGGTCTCTGGTAGAACTGCCTTGAGCAGGGTATGCCAGCGGCTCTACTGCAACCTTACATAGGATGCCCTGCAAGTAGCGTGCATGTGCTGAGCCGAGAGAGCAAGGCGTCCTAAACCCCAAGCCTTGCTGCTTCAAGGAACCAACAGCCCCCAACCCCAAAACCGAAGCCCTAAGCCCTTTTCTGCAGGTGCAAAAAACCCAAAACCCCAAAACCTCCAAAACCCCCCCCGATGTTCCCCCTTATACTAACAGTCCTCAATAGGGATTTGAATAGGGGGTACTAGAATCCCTTTTACGGACTGTTTGTGTAAGGGGGAGCAACCCTAAACCCTAAACGCTGAACCCTGAACCCTGAACCCTAAACCCTAAACCCTAAACCCTGCCTCGCCTGGCTTGTCCGAGTGTGAGCGATTAAACCCTAAAACCCTAAACCCTAAACCCTAAACCCTAAACCCTAAACCGTAAACCGTAAACCCTAAACCCTAAACCCTAAACCCTAAACCCTAAACCCTAAACCCTAAACCCAAACCCATGAAACCCCCAAAGCAGGCCTTGGCCAGCGGCTGTGCCGGGGCCGCCGGGCTGCCTGACATCCCTCAGGCCCCTCAGCGGTTTCGAAAATATAGGGGTCGGAACAATTGCTACTAGTATTCCCTTAAGGTCCCTCTATAATTATGCTAGAAAAGCCCCCAACAACCCTATTCTAATTATTCAGGCCCCTCAGCGGTTTCTATAGTTGCCTTTCAGGAATGTGTTGATGTGAAATCCAAGGGGAAATTCGTGTTGTCTTCACTACAGCCGTGCGTTGAGGCTTCAGGTAAACACACAACCCGGAATCCTCTCCCCGGGTGACTTCCAATTTGAAGTTCTACAGCCATGAGCCCAGAGCCCTATGAGGCACGAAAGCGCCCTGACTTAGGTGGGTTATAACTGCCCCCAAGAAAGTTATCTGCACTACCCTGCTTATAACCCCACTTATGACTACCCATGAACCTCCAAGTACTCCAGTCCTAAGGCTATGAGGCCCTAACCTTCACCTCAGCATCCTCCCTCCCAAAGCCCAAAACCTTCATACCCAAAGTTCTTTGGGTAGTTACATGGTCCCTTCATAGGGCCCTTAAAAGGGGACCCCTTGTAAACCCCCTACATACCCTACAAAGCCCAAAGGGCTTTTACTTCAGATCCCTTTAAAGAGAGCAAGGGCCCCTATTAAGGCACCATGCCCTCAACCCTCAACCCTAAACCCTAAACCGCATCACGCCCTCGAAAGGGCTGGCCCTACGGAGCTCTCACGGGTGCGGTGCACTCCTCAAGTGGGAGAATGGCGGAGGGGTTGGGGATTGGTGGCGGCAAGTGCAGCACGAGTGCTAGGGTTTAGGGTTTCAGGTATAGGCGGGCGTCTGGCAGTCAGCAAGTCCAGCTCAAAAAAGGCTTAGGGGTTTGTGCATTTTGGGAGGCCTTTCTTGCGTGCTTGCCTGAGAGCTTTTCAAGTTTTCGTTCGGGTTCGGGTGGTTTTCAGGAGTTAAGGAGTGAGGACGCTGGGAGGCTGGGAAGCCATTGCTTTTTGGGCTTGAGGACATGGGTTTGACCCGGCTACTTGAAGGTCAATGGGTAGTTATAAGTGGGGTTGTAAGAAGGGTAACAATGTTTCTAAATGGTTAGAACTTAGAACCTAACTAGAACTACCCACGAACCTTCAAGTAGGGTTTCGGGTAAAGGGCGTTTAGGGACCTTGGTGCTGGACAGCCCCTTCATTTTTGCACTGGACCGTTGTCCCATGGCCTAGCTGATAGATGTTACTACCGTTGCAATTCTGAGACCCTAAACCCTGAACCCTAAACCCTAAATCCCTCCCCACCGCGGATGATCAGAGCTTTCCCAGAAGCGATAAGGTTGGGGATGCTCCATGCTCGCTACCGCCGTCTCCAGCGCCTTGGGCGAGGGATTCTTACGGGCATGACTTGCTTCCAAAAGGGTTTAGGGTTTAGGGTTTAGCCTTCCGACCACACGTAAAGCCGCACAAAACGCTTGGTTTGGGACATGTCAAACGCTTGGTTTGGGACATGTCGAGCCGCTGAAAGCGCTTGGTTCGGACATGTACAGCCGCTCAAAGCACTTGGTTTGTGGGGGTGGGGGGTATGCGAATGGCCCTCACGATTCGGACATGTACAGCTGCTCAAAGCACTTGGTTTGTGGGGGTGGGGGGTATGCGAATGGCCCTCACGATGAGAACGTCCGTGGTACCAGTGCGTGCGAGTGGCCAGAGCATCCATGCCCCCACGATGAGAACGTCCGTGGTACCAGTGCGTGCGAGTGGCCAGAGCATCCATGCCCTCACGATGAGAACGTCCGCGGTAGGAGTGCGTGCGAGTGGCCAGAGCATCCATGCCCGCACGATGAGAACGTCCGTGGTACCAGTGCGTGCGAGTGGCCAGAGCATCCATGCCCGCACGATGAGAACGTCCGTGGTACCAGTGCGTGCGAGTGGCCAGAGCATCCATGCCCTCACGATGAGAACGTCCGTGGTAGGAGTGCGTGCGAGTGGCCAGAGCATCCATGCCCGCACGATGAGAACGTCCGTGGTACCAGTGCGTGCGAGTGGCCAGAGCATCCATGCCCGCAGGATGAGAACGTCCGTGGTACCAGTGCGTGCGAGTGGCCAGAGCATCCATGCCCGCAGGATGAGAACGTCCGTGGTACCAGTGCGTGCGAGTGGCCAGAGCATCCATGCCCGCGCGATGAGAACGTCCGTGGTGCCAGTGCGTGCGAGTGGCCAGAGCATCCATGCCCGCAGGATGAGAACGTCCGTGTTACCAGTGCGAGCGAATGGCCAGAGCATCCATGCCCGCGCGATGAGAACGTCCGTGGTACCAGTGCGTGCGAGTGGCCAGAGCATCCATGCCCGCACGATGAGAACGTCCGTGTTACCAGTGCGTGCGAATGGCCAGAGCATCCATGCCCGCAGGATGAGAACGTCCGTGGTACCAGTGCGCGCGAGTGGCCAGACTTCAGAGCATCCATGCCCGCGCGATGAGAACGTCCGTGTTACCAGTGCGTGCGAATGGCCAGAGCATCCATGCCTGCACGATTTTTGCTGCTTTCTGGGAGCCGACTCCGGACCCGCGCTGCAGTCAGGGGCGGCAGCAGTTGGGGCCATGGCCAGCGCGGCGTGCCATAGCCGCGAGGAGTTCACGCCCTTGCTGAGCCTGCGCAAGAAGAACCTTTCACCCGAGCACCTCAAGACGTTTCGTAAGTTTGCCAAAGGCAAAGGTGGCCAGAAGACGGTCCACGAAACCAGCCACACGTTTCAGGTCCTCGGGGGGGATAACCCCGCCGAGGCTGTGTTCAGCCAGGCGAAGAATCAACTTCGGCGTGTCAATCGTCTTGGTCGAGACGCTGCTAAGACAGTCTCCAAATCGTTTTTGGCCGCGCAATGGTCCCTGCACAGACCAGGCCTCCTGAATCTTCTCCAAGCCTTCAGGGCATACCAAGCGTGGAACGTTGATCGTTTGGGTGTGGACCCTTATGATCAACTCACGGAAGATCGGCCTTGGGAGTTGCTGGAACTTTAGATCCCTCGAACCCTCAAAGATTCGCTGAATTTATAGTGCCCAAAAACGCTGCTTCTAGCTCTTCCCCACTGCATGCATCCCAGACTGCCACTTATCATCCCGTACTACCCTGCGTGGGACGCTCAGCACTTCCTGCCGACAACTCCTGTCTTGTCTCTACCTTCCACCGCTTCCCGCAACTTAAAATTCCAAGATTTTTAAGTTGTGCAATGGTTGCCGCTCAGCCGCTTGCCAAGCTCCAAAAGCGTGGCAGGCGCGATAGAAACAGCGCTGGCACTCCGCAGAAAAGCTTCTGGGCGCGGCTTAACGCGCGGTCGGAGCGTTTAGGGTTTAGGGCTCCTGGACCCCGAGAGCAGCGACACGGAAGCAGGACAAAACCTAATATAGGGGTCGGAAGAATTACTAGTCGATTCCCTTATGGTCCCGTTTTTAGTATACCATAGCCCCCAAAACCGTTTAGAGCTGGGATGGGGAGCTCAGCGGCTCAGTGTTTCCGGGTTCAAGGTTTTTTTTTGCGTTTAGGGGTTTAGGGCTTAGGGAAGTTTAGGGGGTTTGGCCATATGCTCAAGGTGCCATCTTCAGTGGGCCAGATTTCTCCCATTCCGATGGCCATGGGCGACAGGCGGGCTGCGTGCACAATAAGCCTCCCCCTAGCTCCTCAAATCCGCTCTGCCATCGGTTCCTGTTAACCGCGACAATTCATCGCCCCTCTATGGCCCGCGCCATTTGATCATACTGATCATAGTCGCATCTCACGGTTTCAGGGTTTCAGGGTTTCAGGGGGCTGTGCGGAGTTCATGAACCCTAAAGCCCCCACGCCTTAAAGCCACAACAAGGCAACGACTGGCAGCACAGCAGATGCAGATGCGCTCGCCACAGGCGTGCGAAATCAACCACGAAGGTTGCATTAGCGTGGAGCTTGTTGGTAGCATCCAGAGATTCAGTCGGGTTCAGAGTTAGACTTTGTGATTTAGTATTTATTTCTGAGATTATCATGGATTTGGAAGTTTGGATTCCCTTGCCCAAGACCCCGAATTCCTCCCTAAACCCTAAACCCTAAACCCTAAACCCCAAACCCCAAACCCCAAACCCGAACTCCCTGAAGACCCTTGCCGGCCTTGCGCAGGTGCGAGAGTCGAAACCCCCCGAAGTCCCCGCAGTGCTGTGGCTAGTCGGGTAACCCGAAACCCTAAACCCTAAACCCTAAACCCTAAACCCTAAACCCTAAACCCTAAACCCTAAACCCTAAGCCGGATTGGGCTCGCAGGTTCCTTGCCTTTCTTGGCGGACTAAGGTTTGAGATGTTTTCACTGGCTAGGACCCAGAGTAGACCCTTATTCCCCTTTTTTTCGGGTTTAGGGTTTAGGGTTTAGGGTTTAGGGTACAGGTCGGACCCAGATCAGGCTCTTATTCTCTTTTTTTAGGCGTCAGGTTCCCTTATAAGCCCCTTTTAAATCCAAAGGGAAACCTTGTTATTCCCGGGTTACTTGGGTCTAGAAAGCACGTGTACAGGGGTTGATGAGTCCTCATACCCTTGCAACACCGCCGGAGCGACCGAGTGATGTGTCCCGTCTCCCCAGCCCTCTGCTGACAGCGCCCACGCACGCACACAAGCACAACCGCACACTCGAGCTGCTACATGCACTGGTATCATGACTACGAAACCCCAAACCCTAAATAGTTGCATATACGCCTCGCTATCCTCCATCTCCTGACTGTGACCCCTTTTCCATGAAGTCAACAGAGCACTTAGATTACGTGTGGCGACGACAGATCACTGTCACATGGCACAAGTATACATTTCAGTCATGCACACATGCGTAGAGGCTTAGACATTAAAGGCTTCCTTGGAAAGGCCGGTTACCCCCATCCCCCCAAACCACACCTCATAAACCTCAGCTGTTGTCAGGTTGTTTGGCGCAAAAACTTGGGAGGTGTTGTACCACTTTCAGTTTGCCTTGATCCAATCCGGGGCTTGCATGTGCGAAGCATGTACAGAGGCGACCTTCCACATCCGTGCCAGGACAAAGCCATGATGAAGAGGTCTCGCATGATGCCGGCCGTGCAAAATCCGGAGAAGACTGCGCTTGAGGCGCTAGCCGAGAGACATCCTAGGGCTGAGGCTTCAGGGCGCGTGATTTGATATTTGAGGGTTTAGGGTTTAGGGATTAGGGATTAGGGTTTAGGGTTTAAAGGTTCAGGGTTTGCGGGGTTGGTTTGAGAATGTTTTAGATGCACTTCTGGAGGGAATGTTTGCTTGTCTTGGGTTTCCTGGTCTCCAGGAGCCCTTCCCCAGAGATCAGCCACTGCCAAAGACCTCCTGGAAAACCCCCTAAACCCTAGGCCCTAAACCCTAAACCCTAAACCCTAAACCACCACAGCCAGGCCGCTGCTGAAATGGCTGCAAGTTCGTCGAGTTCAAGGACTGCGCTGCGTCGCCTGTCTTGAAAAGTTTTGGGCTCTAGGGAGTCTAGTGGTTGATTTGGGGAGCTTGGTTTTTCTTTTGCAGTGCATGGTTGTCACCCTGGGGCGTGCTGCTCAGGTTTGGGGGCATCCTCCAACTACTTAATGCACAGTGCTTGAGCTTTGCATGATCCTTCGCGAGCCTTTCCGACACCTGCTAAAGTTGATGTAGTGATCGCGACACGGACTTGATTCGATGCCGCAGATCATGCTGAGAGCCTACGGCACAGTGATGTCCAATTCCGAAGCTTGCTGGTAACCTGCCTTAGTAGCATTGCCTGTCCCGAGGCAAGAGTCTGACAAGCTTATGTACACGCCCCAGGACCTTCGCAGACAACCGCAAAACCCCAGACCTGAAAGTTGGTTAGGAAACTGCAAGCGATCGTACTCGAAGCTCTATACTGGTCTTAATCTAGCACATTCCTTGGGTAACCTTCAGCCCTGACAGCCAAAAAAACCTTAACCCTAAATCCTAAGCCCCAAACCCCAAAAACATCCTTTCAGATTGCATAAACCCTAAACCCCAAAGACATCCTGAAAGTTATAGCTCACAGCGAATGAGGCCTTCATGAAATGCTGCCCAAGGAGGCACAGGAGGCTGGCGTTTGGGTTTAGGGTACAGGGTACAGGGTATAGGGTTTACGGTTCAGGGTGGGGCCCGGGCGGGGGTTGTGGTTAATGTCTACGGTTCAGGCTCTTCTTTCTGGATTCTAGGGCCTTAGGGATTTGGGGCATCTGCGGCAGCTTCTGCTAGGACTCGAGCCACACAGTCGCAGGAGCCGGTTATCCGAACACTGTAGGAATGCCGCGGAAGGACTCTCCTGATTCCTTAAAATTTCGCATCGTGGCATCGTACTGAAACCCCTAAACCCTACACCCTAAGCCCTAAATCCCCAAGCATAAACCCTAAACTCTCGCTCTCTTTCCCTCTTTACCTCGAAAGCTACTTGGGGTCTCCCTAAACCCTAAACCCTAAAATACAGAGACAATAAAGGTTTTCATACTAAAATATAGAGAAAACAACAAAAGCGACCCCGCACCAGCAGCACAAGAAAAAACGCGCCCCTACCGCACCCGCAACAAAGAAAAAGCGCGCCCCTCTGCCACCCGAAGCCACGTGCAGTATGGACTCTACCCTAAACCCTAAACCCTAAACCCTAAACACAAAGTCCGTAGAGCTGGGGAGTGAAGCCCTAAACGCCCAAACCCCCTCAGCCCCTTGTCCCTTTTGAACCCCAGACTCGGACCAGCTCGTTCCCCCCAAGCAGGGTTTAGGGTTTAGGGTTTAGGGATAGGCCCCCTAGAATCTGAAACTCAAGTCGCAGTCGCACATTGTCCATGGCGCTCGCGACACAGGTCCACGGAAGCCTGCGTTCGAGGGCTTACGGCGTTTTTCTACCTCCCGCCTTTCGCCCACATTGCGGGGCATATATGAGTTATCTGGTACGTGAGGAAAAGTATTCCAGAAGTCTGCCTGCGCTCCTACAACCCACCACACCGCGCAGCCCTAAACCCTAAGCCCTAAACCCTAAACCCTAAATCCTACTTTCTCAGACTCTCTGCCAGGCCGCCGCCGCCGCTCTTGCCACCCACAAAGCGCGGCCAAGGCGGACGATGATGCCAGACGCGACATCCGCCGAGGCTGAGCTCCTTAGTAGCTGAGTGAGCACACTTTACTTTGTTTGGGTTTAGGGTTTAGGGTGTAGGGTTTAGGGTTTAGGGTTTAGGGTTTGGGGTTTAGGGTTTAGGGTTTAGGGGGGCTTATGAACTCAGCAACTAAGGCTCTCTGCTGCGCCGAAGAAGGCCTCACCCAAGCCGCCGCGGGCCCAGGAGGGCTAATGACCTACATGTTTAGGGTTTTGGGGTTTTAGGGTTTAGGGTTCAGGGTTCATGGGTAGATATAAGTTTGGTTCCAAGTACCTCAAGTAAGGTTATTTATCAGTTATCCTGCTTATCATACCCCCGCTTGCAGCTACCAATGAAACTCATGATCCTTCAAGCATAGCCGAGCTGACTGCGCCAAGGGCAGTCAGGCAGCGCATGCGCACATTTCATGGGTTGCCCACTACCCGCCCCCCCACCCCCCCCCCACCCCCCTCCTCCTCTGCGCTACCCCCCCCGCCCCGGCCCGATGCTAACCCCCCCGCCCCCCCTTCCCCCCAGAATGAAGGCTATGTTAGGGACAATTATAAGCTTAATTAAAGGATGTTAGGGATAATTATAAGCTTAATTAAAGGATGTTAGGGATAATTCTAAGCTTAATTAAAGGAGGTGGAGGGGGGGGGGGTAGTAGGGAAACCCATGCACATCAATGCGAAAGCTGGCTAAGCAAGGAGCGGGCACGGGCATCTCCTGGGGACTCCATTCACCGACTGACTAGGGTTTAGGGTTTAGGGTTGAGGGATGAGGGATGAGGGTTTCGGGTTGTTTAGGGATTTCGGGTTTAGGGTTTAGGGTTTCGGATTTTTTCAAAAAGGATTTCGGGTTTGGGGTCACTTGGCGGAGTGGCCTCCGACAAGTGGAATTGAGACGTTGCGCAGCAGCGCCATGCCACAGGAAATTTCCTTGCAGAGCCCGGCTAGCTTCGATCCATGTCTCAAAAAGTGTGTTGAGAAGCTGCAAAGCCCAACAGCACCAACAGTACTCTGCACGAAACCATGTAAACAAGAAGGCCCGAAGAAGTAAGGAGTCAAATTTAAAAAACGGCTCGGAAGAAGTCCTCAATCAACTCATGCACCTGAAATCCTGCGTGCCCACCAAGGCCTGCACGCAAAAGACGAGGTCCCCAGTGACCGCCAGCTCGAGGCCGTTGGTGTTTCTGGCGGGTGTGCTTCGGCTGGGGGTTTCGGGCTTTGGGCTTAGGCCCAGGCTTGCGGTTTTTGGACGATTCTCTTTCCGGGGGTAGAGGGGCCGGCTCTGAAAAAGTGCAAGGAAACCAACCCCCTAAACCCTAAACCCTAAACCCTAAACCCTAAACCCTAAACCCTAAACCCATCAAAAGAGGCCATGGTGGTGATTGCCACCAAAGAAGTCGGTCTCCCAGGAGGCGCGCGCTACGTGGGAGCCCCCCGACCAAAGATATGTCGCTGAGCCGCCGGATCTTGAAGGTTTGTTTGGGGTTGAGGGTTGAGGGTTTAGGGCCTTTAGGGTTTAGGTTTAGGGTTTAGGGTTTAGGGTTTAATAATAGGGTTTAGGGTTTAGGGTTTAGGGTTTAGGGTTTAGGGTTTAGGGTTTAGGGTTTAGGGTTTAGGGTTTAGGGTTCAGCGTTGCACCTGAGCTGGGAGCTCTGGCCATCCAACCTGGACGCCTTGGAGGATCCCAAAAGAAGAAACCCCATATAGTACCCCTATACTAGTAGTAGTAGTAGTACTACTACTACTACTACTACTACTACTACTACTACTACTACTACTACTACTACTACTACTACTACTACTACTACTATTTCTACTTGGAGGTGCACGGGTAGTTATAAGTGGGGTTATAAGTAGGGTAACTATTCTTAGCACCTGAACCCTACTTATAGCTACCCTTGAACCTCCAAGTATTGGGTCATTCTTGGCAACTCTCTTAAGGGGATCTACTGTTTGGATCCTCCCTCAAGTACAAGATGTCCGAATCTCTCAGGTCCACGACTCCATATGAAAGGAGCATGAGGAGGCCGGAGGGAAAAGGGTTTAGGGCTTAGGGCTTAGGGTTTTGGGTTTAGGGTTTAGGGTTTCGGGTTTAGGGTTTAGGGTTTAGGGTTCAGGGTTTAAGGCCGCTTGCGGGAAGCTTGTTGAAGAGCACTCGAACTCTCCTACGGAGTACTGCGCAGGTGTATATTGGGAGCTACGCCGTGTCACGCCCTTCATGATCCAGAACCTCCCAGTTCGGCTACCAGCAGCAGGTCATGTGTCTGCCGCCGGGGGCCGTAACTATCATCAATGGCTGCTTGCCTGCGATTGCTAGCACATCTGCGCCTGCAGTTCTCGCACTTGACAAGTCCAGCTGTGTAGGTACATGTGAAGGGATGGAGGTAGAAGGCCACGTTTAGCTGGAAAACGCAGACATGGAGCTGCTTGCATGCGCTGCCTCCCGAAACCCTTCAGGACCTTCATCAACTTGCACAGCTTCATCAGAAAATTTCGGAGGGCATGTGCATAAGAAACAGGCCTAGCTTAGCTTGCCACATTTACTTGCCATCTGCCAGCTACTTGGTTCATAAGGGTTTAGGGTGAGGATCCCTGCATCGGAACGGCTCCAGGGTAAGAAGGAGCTTCCATCAAGCCCCCGAACGAAACCTCCTGTGTAAGACGAAGGCAGCTCCAAGCCTGCAATGGCCTTCGACGGGTTTCCGAAGATAAGGGGACCCTGTTTGGGGGTCCCTTTAAGGTGGTTCTGTTCTATTTAGGGGTAGAAAACGTGTACCCCTATTCTGGAAAATGTCTACATGCGGTCGGGGGGCTCGGACGACCCGGAAGCGCGTCCGCACGTCTTCGTGAGCTGCTTCTGAGGTTCCACAACTCGAAGATCACGGATGGCGAGATTCGTCCGTGCTTGGCTTCTTCTATGGTTACCTAGAGGTCACTGACGGGCTGTACGAGGATGCCTCTCATGGCAGGGCTGCTAAGACCTGCAACGCGTGCATGCAGATGCCATGCCTACCAAGCTTCTTCATGTTCTCCGAGCTCTTTCATCATGCAGGGTCACTTCGTGAGTGTCTTGCTGGGCTGGCAGGGCTTTTGGACTTGAGTGTAGATTTTTCTTAGAGCTAGGGACTTCGAAGCCTCTCAGCTTGGCGACACTTCAAAGGTTTAGAGTTTAGGTTCGGAGTTTATGGATCTGCCAATACCAGCATTGCTACGCTTGCGTTGCCGGCCTTGTTCTCGCGATGCGGAACAAGGCGGAAAGCAAGCGCAGAGCGGGCGAAGAAGGCCTGTGCTTGTTCCAAAAACTGAAGGGGGTTTCCACGAGAGCCCACGTACGATCATGCACAAGAGTCGAAGCTGACAGAGTTCCACCACAAGGTATGCCTGCTTACGCCAGCCTAGGGTGCAATCTATAGTGTAGTGGTTACTGCCCTGCCGACACAAAAGACATAGACCCTGTCTGGGGAGACAGGCTTGCTCAGACTGTAACCTCGCACGACTGCCAGGACAACTTCCATAACACCATGTACCGTCAAGCAGAGGAATGGAATAACTTGCAGCATCACCGCATGCCAGAGAATCACCCACAAAGTCAGTCCTTAGACGTGGTGCGCTTAGCGAGGGAAATGCCTTCAACCCCTCGCATGACTGCTGACTGCTCCCAGATGAAGCTAGAAGCTTTCTGCATGGCGACGTTTGCTGACTGCTTTGAAGTGCAGCCTTTCGGAAGACTGCACAGGTCGGTGAGGACGTTGCTTACAGCAGCATGCTCATGGACGACAGCGGCAGGTGAAAATGACTTGCCTGTTCCGCTCAACATGGAACTGCGCTTCTGTCCCACCTGCAAGGCAGGCAATCGGACAAGAGAAGGGCTTGATTCGAGTGCGAGAGACGTGTTGATGTGTTGCAATGTGTTACTGCCGGTATGGCATTCGAGCATCGATGACGATGACCATAGGTGACCATGAGGTCACACGGGCGGGACATATCTGTTCCGCCCTGATCCCGGGCATGATTAGTCCCAGAAGAAGCGATCAACATCCTGGACCTCCTGTGACAAGAACGCGCCCCCAGATTGCGATGATTGAAAAGACCACGCGTAGAAGGTGCAAGGCTGGACGCAGCAGACAGTAGGGATAACAGGGCCCATACTTAGGAGAATGCGATTCGAATGCTTGCAGGTGCATTCAAGTTTCGAGTTTAGCAGCCCCAAACCCTGAGGGTGTATCGCTTGCACTTGAAACCCGTAGAGTTCAGGCGGAATTGGGGGAGAACAGAAGGGGTCAGGACCCCGCAAAGGTCTGCCCATGGTGCTTGAGACTGTGCCTGTTGATTGGCTTGCTAGAGTCTAGCTGCTAGAGTATGGGAGTCCAGTCAGTAGCACAGCCTGCACTTGGGCAGTTTCTGGCAACACCCATACGAGGCTAAAGGGTTCGGGTTTGGGTGTGCCGCAGTCACTTTACACAAGGAAATACCGACCAATAAGGTGCATTCTTCTTTTTTGTAGGGTAAAACAGTAACCACTCTAGGTGGGCCACAAACCCTGTAGACCCCAACACTTGATGCCACGCCTTGCGTTCAGAGGCATTTCAGAGCTGCGAGGAAGCAAAGACGCACAGCCAGCCAAACAGCAAGTCACCGATGTGTCAGCAGGCCTAGATCCTAGGGCTCGTTCAACATCATCTCAACAGTTCGGGCCGCGTACATCCATATAGGTTCAGAGCTGACGACTCTGAGAGCACCTGGGGCGTTGTCCTGCACCAGCATCAGACAGATTCGTCACTTGCCTAGCACAGGCATCGGCTGGACTGAGGGTTTAGGCTTGCATCTGACATCCCCGTGCGCCATGCCGTCAGCCGACTGTTGGCTCGTCGGGGCAAGGGGCCCAGAAAGTAGGCAGCTTGCTGCCCATCATAATCCATGGCGGGCGAAGCCGGAAGCCACCAGTTGTTTTTGCCCCCTCGATGCGTGCCCCCCTACCCCCCCGCTCTGTTCCTCCTTAGGATCGGATCGGGTTTGGTGGGCCAGCAGGGCAAGTGGCTCAAGCAGGGCAAGTCGGACAAGCAAGTGGGGGAGGTAACATAAAAAAAATCGCAGCCCAGAGGGGGTCAAGCGGGGCAAAGAGTGGCCGATCGCAGAAAAAGAAGGGGCCAAGTGGCACAAGTGGAGCAAAGTCAGGTGGCCCCGCGGCAACAACGACAATCCGAATGTCTGCCTGTCGTTCTGACTTCCGCCAGACCCTAAACCCTAAACCCTAAACCCTAAACCCTAACTCTCAGAGATGGTCCTCCCTTGAAGCTATGCTAGGAGAGTTGGATGTGGGGGGCTTCTTGCTCAAAGACCCTATTTTCGACCTTTTCGTCAGAGTCGGCAGTGCATGCCGTGATGAAGCTCAGAAACTTGAACACTGGCTGTGACACCGTCGCATCTGTCGCCACGAAGTCTGTTCAGCCCGGTATCTTGTAGACAGGCACTTCGCTGCTCGGCGTGACATGCCTCCGCTTGTACCGTACGGCCATAAACTCCGTCTTAGTTTGCAAGCTTCCCCGAGGCGAATGGAATCGAATCCGTGAATGACCCCGCCTAAACCCTACATAAGCCTACATCGATTAACCCCACGCCCCTGCCTCTCCGACACTTGGTGGCCCTAAGTTCTGCAAAGCCTGAAGAGGCTAAACAACAAACCCCAAACAACCAGTATTTTTTAAACGCCCTAAACCCTAAACACCATAAGAAATGATTTCTCTGGGGTCTCCAAATCCTGCCCAGTACAGGTGCTGGTCCTGGGCTGTTTGGCTTGGCCCTCGCAGAGTTTCGCCGTGGTGGGCTATGTGCCAGACTACCGCTTCTTAGCTTGGGGTCATGCAGGGTGTAGGGTCATTGCGGGTTTAGGGCTTAGTGCTGGTTTTGTTTAGGCTATTTCGGGACAGTTGAGAAGAAAAAAAGAGGGCTGTTAGGATTATGGGGTCCTTAGGTTTGCTTTTGGCTCTTGAATAAACATTCTGAACTAAACCAACCATGGTTACATCAACCCTACATTACGAACCCTCCTTTGGGCGGTCTTGTTCAGAACCCGAGCTTAGGGTTCAGTAGCAGTAGGCCGAACGCAAAGCCCCCAAAACCCGACATCCTGGTTATGTTGTGGGGGAGGGGGGGGGGAGGGCGAGGGGAAGGGGGAAGGAGGGGAAGAAGGGAAGTACTGCCAGTATTTATCAGTTCTCCACAATTGGCAAAATAATAAACCCGACTGACGAATAGTAGTGGAAATGGAAGCATGTCGTGGGTTCTAGCGAACTGTACCTGAGGCTTGAAAAGGTTCGGTATCGAAGACGGCTGTTATCATCAGCAATGTGATTCCCCAGAGAGCCCCAATACCCCTTAATGAAGGAAGATACCTTCAATTATAAAGGGATCCTTTTTAGGAGAATTCCTGAATTAAGGGGTATTGGGCTCTTTGGGTCCAAAGCCAAGCCTCAGGGTTTCGGGTCTAGGGCTCGGGGAAACGGGCCGAGGTTTCCTCGGTAGCCCAGTGGTGCCCTTTTTCCCCTTTTGTGGGTTCAGGGTTCTCTAAAGGAACCAACCCGCGAAGGGAGCCCCTATTATAACATGGTTACTGGGCTGTGAAAGTTTCACTTTGCGGCTGTACGGGTTTGAGGTGCGTTGAAGATGCCCGGAGTTGGAAGGCTGAGGGTTTAGGGTTTAGGGTTTAGGGTTTAGGGTTTAGGGTCCCGTGAACTCTTGTCATTCTTCGAGGGCCTTTTTTTGGGGGGTTCACTTCGCTGAACCCTCCCTCAAGCATCCATGCCCCGAAGCCCAAAGTCTCTGAAGCACTCGCTGCACGGCTTCTGGGATCTGTCATCAACTCAACCACTTGAAGGTTCAGTGGTAGTTACCATTAGGGACATGGGTTCCTTACTGGTTAAGGTCAGAACCAGTTATGCTTACAGTTGCCCAAATTCTACCCCTCCTTCTCACTACCCATGAGTCTCTAAAGCAAGGTTTCGGCGACATTGACTGGAGCAAGGACCGGCGCGGTTTAGGCTCATGTCGGCTTTGCCGATGCTCTGGCAGTTATATGGGCTCACCCATGCTTCATTGGTTTAGGGTTTAGGGTTTAGGGTTCGGGGTTCGGGGTTTGGGGGGCGAAGATTGGCCTCTTGGCAATATTCCGGTGTTGGTTGAAGTCCGGCTGCAAACAAGGGGGCGGCGGCAGGCGACATGGGATCATGGGTTTAGGGTTTAGGGTTTAGGTGTTTCCGTGGTTTTCATCGTGGAAATTCTGCCGCCTCTTTCATCTTCAATCATGGCTCTGGTGCCCAAAGTCTCGCTGTTACAATGAACGCTGTACTGTCAGTATCAAAACTACCCAAAATGTAGGCCCCTGTACTACGCTTTCAAGGCTGGGTTTCTGAACACTGGACATCCCGACCTTGACAAAATCACTCCAAACCAAAAGCCCCACAAAGCCAGGGTGGCAAAGGCTCAGTTAAAGTAACCCGAATTCCTAAATCCTAAAGCCTAAACCCTAAACCCTAAACCCTAAACCCTAAACCCTGAAAACAAAACTTGCGCTGGATGGGGTGCACCCTATGAAGTTGCGGCTTCGGTGGCTGCACAGACAGGTCTGTCATGTTCCGTGAGCGATGTCCTCGCCGGGGTTTTGCAATCACTCCACGCTCGGTTTTTCACTAGGTTCTGAACCCGTGCTCGGTGGGCCAAAACCTGGTGTCCTCTGAAAACACCTGTTTAGGGTTTAGGGTTCAGGGTTTAGGGTTTAGGAGGGAACTGCTGCAAACGACGCAGGGTGGATCATTTTCCCTGCTGAATGCTCTCGCGCAAAGGGCACCCCTCCCGCCCGAAACCCTACTTGGAGGTTGAAGGGTAGTTATACCTAGGGTTATAAGTACCCTATATAACCCATATAAGGTTATAAGTATAGTTACCCTACTTATAACCCCACTTAGACTACCCATGAACCTCCAAGTAGACCCTAAACCCAAAAAAGCTGCCAAATCACCAGCAGGTCGTAGCGCGAACATCGCACGTTGTCCTCTTCTCTCTGACGCCGACAGAGCAAGGACCGACATGCCCATGACTTGCGGATCCACTAGGGAGCCATGATAAACTTTGCGGTTTCTTCTTAGTAGCTGCATGAGTACACTCTTCACTTTTTGAGAAACATATTCCCTTACAAAACTGAAAGGGTACACTTTTGGGGGGGCTTATGAACTCAGTCTTAGTTTAAGAGAAAGTTTTTGAAAAATTAGCTTCAATTTCGTTGGGTATTGGATACAAGGTTGTTGAGGTTGGATCGTCTGGGATCCACTTCTAGCTGCCTTGAGAAGAACGATCGTTCTTCTTCGATATTCTGTTTTGGCTTTATAGAGAATCCCAAGAGAATCTTAAAAGGGTTTAGGGAAGGAGTATTTGAAGCATATCCACTGGTTTAGGGTTTAAATGTGGGGTCCTAAAACATGTGTAGGGAGCCGGCTCGTGCTTTCAGCGCCTTTGGCGCCGATTTCCAAAACCGGGTATTCCTTTGCCTCCATTGTCGGCATAGAGCCCAAGGGTTTAGGGTTTAGGGTTTAGGGTTTAGGGCTTAGGGTTTAGGGTTTAGGGTTTTAGGGGACCCTTAGGCACCCCCTGCCGAAACCCTCATCAATTTCTGCGCGGACACTGACTAGGTTGAAGGTTGTCCTCGTTTTTTGGACCCCAGGGAATCTGGGGCACACTCGGCTAACGCAAGAAGATGCTAAGGAGTTCCATGAGAACTTGCAGTTGACTTGGCGTTCGTGGAGCCCTCCAACGTACCCGAGAATCTTAAGCAAATCGGCCCTCGCAGCATCTTCCAGACACCACCCAATCCACGACCCCAAAAGCCTTCCATCCCTAAACCCTAAACCCTAACCCTCCACGGCATCTGCAAGGCTTGGAGGGGACGCCCATCATTCGGAACTTGTTGCATCCGCACCTCGGGCCGGGATCATCGTTGGTCTTCCGATGTGATGGTGAGGTAGGCCCTTCTTAAGGTTTAGGGTTTAGGGTTTAGGGTTTAGGGTTTAGGGTTTAGGGGTATGTTCCCCCTTTATAGTAACAGCCCTTACTTATAACAGGGGGTACTATAGTCCCTATTATGGACTGTTAGTATACGGGGTGCAACATCCGTGATTGCAGTATACGTTCCCTTCTTCTTGGAAGACTAGTGGTGCCCTTGTTGCCCTTTTTGTGGGGTTCTATGTTCCCTGTAAAGTCACCAACCCCAAAAGGCCACCCTTTTTAGAATATGGTTACCGGGGCATCATTTTGATATGACTTGAAGGTGGTAGTTACAAGTATATAGGGTAATGAGCCCATGATCCTCCAAGTAGCTCTGGACACTAAACTCTAAACCCTAAACCCTAAACCCTAAACCCTAAACCCTAAACCCTAAACCCCCAAACGGGACTACAACTTTCAGAGGCCGCAGCGCGGCTCGTAGCTCGCTCTGCTGCCACCTTTAAAGCTCCCCCAACCTAAAGGCGTTTAGGGTTTAGGGTTTAGGGTTTAGGGTTTAGGGTTTAGGGTTTAGGGTTTAGGGTTTAGGGTTTAGGGTTTAGGGTTTAGGGTTTAGGGTTTAGGGTTTAGGGTTGGGAGGCCTACCCCCTTGGGAATTATTTTTCCTTTTTGCTTATATAAAACCCAAGAGAATATTACGAACAATATTTTTAGTAAGGTTCTAAGGGAAGTATAGCAACCTCGGGGAGACGTCACGAAACCTCCAACCTAAGGGGGTTTAGGGTTGGGGTTTTAGGGAGAGAGGGTTTAGGGTTTTAGGGTTTTTGGGTTTTCAGGGTTTTCAGGGTATGGTTTTCAGGGTTTTCAGGGTTTTAGGGTTTTAGGGTTTTTAGTGTTTTGCAGGGGTTTTGCAGGGGTTTTCAGGGTTTTCAGGGTTTTTGGGACCAAACCATGAACTCCCTATATATAACAGAACACCCTGAACCCCCATATAAAGCCCTTCAGTGCCGGGTTTCTCTGCATGATGTGGGGACCGCAATAGTCACCTGCGGCATGTCGTGGGTGGCAGATTGGAAGGCCTGCAAGGATTTTAGGGCTTTAGGGTTTTAGGGCTGTAAGGGCTTTCGGTTCAGAGTTTACCGTTTTGTGCATCAGGGTCGAAGCCTACCGAATAACTTGTTGCGGACAAGTATTCCCTCAGTCCTTGCCTGGCATGTCCAGAGTAGGTTTCATCCTGCAATCTTTTCAATGAACGAGAAACATGAACCTTACTTAGGATTTAGGGTTTAAGGTGTAGGGTTAAGGGTTTAAGGTTTACGGTTTGGGGCTTAGGGTCTTCATGCGGCAGGATTCATGCTGACTGTTCAGGCACAAGGCTTGAGGCTCGCACGCGCGGCCTGGACATTGCTTAAACATCTTTTGCCTCGGCCCCTCACATGTACCAGGACCCAGGGTAGGCCCCTAGTTTTCAGGGTTTAGGTTCCCTTAAAGCCCCTTCAAACCAAAAAAGGGGCACCCTGTGTTGTTCCTAGGTTACACTTGGGTCTAGGTTACCATGTCCCAAACCTTCTCCATCACTGAGCGCTTCTGATCTGAGGCAATCGCCACTGCAACTCTTCTTACAACTTGTACCATCCAGGGTTTCAGGGTCATCGGTTTGATATTTGCTGGTTTCCGGACTTGGGGGGTGCCTTCTTGGGGTCCCTAAACAGAAGGGGAATCCTGCTGTTTAGGGGGGGTCGACTCTGGGGGTCCCGTATTGTAATCCCCCCATTTCATGGACCCTAGATTTGAAACCCTAAGCCCTAAACCCTAAACCCTAAACCCAAAAGACACTTTGTGGAGGGCTACTCGGCACAAGCATAAGTCGCGAGAGCATGTGTTTGGTCTGCCTCGGCCGGCCATAGTGAAAACACTGACCTCTTTGAAGCCCTGAGCTTTGTAGAGCTGCTTCGGAAGTATCATAAGCGAGGACACAAAAGAGGCACCTTAGTACAGAGCAACCCCGAAGACCCCTACGGCAAACTTTAAACCCCTGAACCTTTACCCACCATAAAGGGGGCTTCATAGAATTGAAGCCGATCCCAAACGCTGGGTTTAGATTCAAGGGTTTAGGGGTGTAGAGGTGTAGGGATTTAGTGGAGCTTGGTGAGTTCGGTGCCCCCGCCTCAGTTTTTCTCCAGTTACAGGCGTCTCTTCCTCATTGAAATGTAAAGCTCCTGGCCGTTTGGTTGCCACCATGAACAATCAGCAATACTGGAGGCCCAAGAGGGACAATGATGTCGAGCAATGCCTACATCGTATGCATGATGCGACTTAGCTTCCTACCCTAAGACACCTACAGGCCTCTTTCAATGAAAGCTGAATGCGGACTTGGCAATTTTGTGTACGAAAGTCCTCAACAAGGGGGGCCTTGCCATGGTTTTGGCAGCCTGATAGCCTCGCTGCCAGGTAGTTTACTGTAAGGCTTCAGGGTCTTAGGGACAAGGCACCCCAAACCCTCCTAAGCCCTAAACCCTAAACCCTAAACCCCTCACATGAGAGAAGCGGGGAATGGCGTGATTTTCTACAAGGTCCTAGAGTGGGGCCGTCTTTTTGCCTAACTGGACAGATCATCGACGTAACCCTGCCTGCGGTTCGGCCAGCTATGCGGGAGCGAAAAAAAAACCTAAACCCTAAACCCTAAACCCTAAACCCTAAACCCCAAACCCCAAACCCCAAACCCTAAACCCCAAGCCCAGGTGACAAAAAAAACAAAACCTCAGAACCCAGGTCGCAGGCCTTGGAGCGACAGGGGGCCGAAGCACCGAAGGTGCTCGTCGCTCGGCAGCTTCCATCTTCTGCGCGCTTTAGGGGTGTTGGAGTTAGGGTTTCAAGGTTTGGGGTTTGGGGTTTAGGGTTTAGGGTCTTGGGTTTTGGGTTTGGGTCTTATGGGGTTTCGGGTTTGGGGGTTTTAGGGGGTTCGGGTGTAGGGCTTGGGGTCTTGGAGTTCGGGTTTGAGGGTTCAGCTCGGGAGAAATGGCTACTTGGAGATGTGTATTGCATCTTTTGTGAGCCATCTAGACTACCAAAGTCTCAGCCTCTACTCTGCCATTAACAGCCGAACTAGCATAGGCACGACCAAAGCAATACGGCTTACCATAAACCCTAAACCTATATCTCCCTTGGGAATTGCTTTTATTTTCGTTTATATAAAACCCAAGAGGATATTTAAAATACTATTCTTATTCAGGTTCTAAGGGGAGTACAAAAGCCCTAAAACCCCTCATTTCGGTCCCGATGTGGTCTAGATCTGCCCCGGCATTCGCAAGGAGCTTGTTGGGTTCACGCCCGAGCAAACCCCTCAATATGAGCATGACCTCTAGATGATGGTCCCTTTTTTTGGGTACCCGGGAGAATAGGCGAGGCCTTGTGCCAAGGACCCCAAAAGGTAAGCATCTCTGAGAACTGGCCGTATGAATTCAGCACGTAGGATTCTGATGCCCAAGTTGATCCCGGTGGTTAGCGTGCCGTATGCATCCCTAAACCCTAAACCCTAAACCCTAAACCCTAAACCCTAAACCCTAAACCCTAAACCCTAAACCCTAAACCCTAAACCCTAAACCCTAAACCTTCCAAGTAATGAAGGCTGCCTCCTTGGGAGAGCAGGGTTATGGCCCCCTCCCCCTTTCCCCTCCTCTCCTCCTGCTGGTCTTGAGGGCCCATGGCTTCCATATCTTTTCCCACAATTTTTAGTGGTAGAGCCATACACAGCACCGCGGGAGATTGTTCAGGGTCGAGTTGTACTATAGGGGCCGGAATAATTACTAATTGCCCTTTGTAAGTATACGAGAACAACCCCCAAAACCCTGTTCCAATTAATATAAGGCCCCTACATCCTGCAGTCATGTCTTGATGTCAAGATGGAGTGCAAGCCTTCGTTCATGAGGTCAGTATCGGCGGAGCCGGGCGTTCGCAGGGCTTCTCCGCTGCTGTCTCTAGCAAGAAGGGCCGCAAGCGCCACTCGTCGCGGGTTATTCTTTGCCTGCATTCTTTGCCTGCCTTTCGGCGCTTCGGACCAGAGTACTGCACATCAGAGTACCTACGCAAGGTTTGGGTGGTTAAGGTTGGTCTTACTCCACCTGTTTGCCTCTTGCGGTTCATCGAACCCCAAACGCTACACCCTAAAGCCTAAACCCCACGTTGCCTCCTTCCCGCTCGCGACCACAGGATGAACTGACTAAACTGCGCCTATCGGGCCTTTCGGTTGAGGGTTTTGGGTTTAGGAAGCCCAGTATGCAAACATCGAACATCAAGTTTGAATCCTTCAAAATTCAAGGGAACAGCTCACGACTACGCACATGGCACGCTGCTTGCATGGCATGCAGAGCCGCTTTTGACACCAGGGGTCCCGGTTTAGGGCTTAGGGCTTAGGGCTTGGGGCTTGGGGCTTGGGGTTTAGGGTTTAGGGTTTAGGGACTTGAAGGTCAGGTTCGTGGGTAGTTATAAGCCGGGTTATAATTGCCCTGAGTAAGGTTATACCCAGGCACAGTTAGTTGCCCTACTTATAACCCCACACACATAACCTGCAAGTGGTCTCAAGACTTGAAGCTCTCCAGCAAAATTCGCTGCCTGTTTGCCGTGGTGAAGCTTGCCATGTCAGGCATGGTGAAGCTGATCCTGGACCTGCTGAACGAGGCGTCGGAGGGTCTAGAGTCGTGCGGGTGCGGCCTTCACCCTGAACGAAGCATGACAGGACTCAGAATTCACATCACCCCCTTGCCCCCCAAATGCTGCTTTGATGTTTGCAGCAGCTGCTCTGATTCGCTTCACTCCGGTGATGCATGGGTAAGTACACTACATTGGGTTATCACCTAGTACATTGGCAGCAGCCCTACTTAGAGCTGCAATTAAAACTATCCTACACACGGGACCTTTACAAGCGGGCTTGGGATTGGGTTTAGGGTTTGTCCTGGACTTTTCGACCCGCGTGTCTGGTAGTCGGCAAGGCCAGTTTCAAAAAACAACAGGTGTGGAGTTGAGGGTTCCTTTTGCGACCCTCAAAGCCTGTGGCAAAAAGAGTTCCCTTTTCTGCACATGTTTGTCCCAGTCCCTGCGCCTGGAACCCTGGACCCCAAACCCTAACCCCCAAAACCCTAAAACCTTAAGTTAGGCCATATTCCTTAATTGAGGGGTGTTGGGTACAACCCCACTGAGGTGCCTCAGCTGGCAGGCGTGGACTTCGACTGGCAGGTGTGGGCTAGGGCCGGGTTACGGCTTTACGGTCGAGGGTGACAAAAACGAGTTTAGGGCATAGAGCTGTCTTTTGCAACAATTAAACATCATAGGAGGCAGATGGGATCTGGCTTAGACAACTTTCCAGGTTCTTGGGTTTGATAATGAGACGTATGGTTAGAAGTAGGCCAACTGCGTTTCGAACCCCCAATTCACGCCTTAAGCACATGTGTATAAAGATAAATAAGTTCTTGTACGTATGCATACTAGCATCTGTAGAACTGTAAGCCTGCCTGAACCTCACATGGCGTAAGATGGTGAAACATGGGTTTAGGCAAAAGTGTTCAGGGTTTTGGGGTTTAGGGTTTTGGATTTGCCTCTCCCTTTTTTCCTTGCTTTGCCTTGCAATCCTGCACCGCACCTTTGTATTGAGATACCTACAGGAGAAAGCCGCTGAAGACTGCTCCCAAGGAATCTTGAGCTTTGGGTTTAAAAGGCTCCTGCTGCACAACTGATGCTCCCCGCCAGGTTCCCACGACTCCAGCCGAGTGGCAGAACCTGGGCAAGCTGGCGCAGATTCTACGCACCAGCAGCTTCACTGCGTAGCACATGCCTGTTTGGAATCGCAGAACCCTATTATAAGGTTAGACTCAAAACGCGGCAAAGGCGCGTAATCATGTGAGGGTTGTTCTCCCCTTACAGGCAGTGACCCATTATGGACTCCCCTCGCCTTAGCTCTTGAGGTAGGATCCCCGAACCCTAAACGCTAAACCCTAAACCCCATCCGCTTCGGAATCCATGGAATTTGAAGACCCGAAACCCTGAACCCTAAACCCTGAACCCAGAAGGGCGGCTCACCCTAAACCCTAAACCCAAAACCCTAAACCCAAAACCCTAAACCCTAAACCCTAAACCCTAAACCCTAAACCCTAAACCCTGAACCCTGAACCCTGAACCCTGAACCCTGAACCTTAAAGCCCAAAGAGTCGGCTCAGCCTGGCTTGGGGGTTTGCCCTTCTGCTGTTTCTCAGGGCCTCATTGACCTGTGTGGTTTTCGCTGCTCCCTTAATTAAAATCGAATTAAGACCCCAAAAATCCTAAAACCCTAAGCCCAAAGTCCCTGAGTCCTCAACCCTAAAATCCCTAAAATCAAAAAACTTGGACCCTAGACTTGCAAGCTAGACCCTCCGGGACACGGAGGAGGCCCCCTCCCACAGTGGTAAAGTCAGACAAACTTTTCTGGGTTTAGGATTTAGGGATTAGGGTTTAGAAGCAACATGGGTTCTCTGCATGTTCGCCAGGGCTGGGGTTGAGGGTTTAGGGTTTACCAGGCGGATCCCCGCACAGCAGGGGTTTTAGGGTGTAGGGTTTAGGGTTTAGGGTTTAGGGTTTAGGAGGTCACGGAGACGAAGTCTTGAAGTCCCTAAACCTCCGGCAGTAGCAAAAGAGGTGACCCAGCGCTGAATCATCAGAACACAAGTTCAACTCCGTCGACCCCGAAGCGCAGCCGAAAATCCCTGAAACCTCCTGCTGACCTTATCTTTCTTGTTCTTAGTGGGGAATTGGAGAAATGGGGTCCCTTTTTGATCCCTTGAAGGGTTATATAGGGGTATAAGCGCCCACATTCTCTCATTCCCAGTAAGAACTAGAAAGCTTTTCAGAAACCAGAACTCCAAAAGACGGCTTTGCTGAGGCTCCAAGGGCGGGCAAGCTCCAGTCGCCCGAAAGATTAGGGTTTAGGGTTTAGGGTTTAGGGTTTAGGGTTTAGGGTTTAGGGTTTAGGGTTTAGGGTTTAGGGTTTAGGGTTTAGGGTTTAGGGTTTAGGGTTTAGGATCTACTTGAAGGTTCATTGGTAGTCACAAGTAGTAGGGTTCAGGTTTTGGGGTGAAATGCTCCAGCTGGACCTGTGTTTCGGGACTGGCCTTCTTTGCACTTGGATCGGAAGCAGTGGACGTGGTGGGATACCGGGTTTAGGGTTTAGGGTTTAGGGTTTAGGGTTCTAAAGTAGGTTCCCATCCGAACACAGATTCAGGGGTCTTCACCCCTCGAACCTCCTACAACCCCCCCCTATGCTGATGGAATGTACAGACTTGGCCTCAAACCTCGATCACTGCTCGTCTCCCAGAGCAGGCCCTTATTCCCGTTTTTTTGTTCCCCTATAAGCCTCTTTAAGCAAAAAAAAGGGTACCCTTCTCATTCCCTTATCAGCCTCTTTAAACCAAAAAGGGCACCCTCTTTTTATTCCTAGGCGACTCTTGAGTCTAGTTCCTAGCAGTAGAGTAGGTAACCTTTAACCTTTTTGGGGTAATATCATCCCCTTATAATCCCACAGTTTTCCCCCAGGTTACTGGACAACTCAGAGTCGTTTCTCTGAGGTCATTACGATGACCTTCCACGCCATGTCGGGCGCCATTAGGAGAGGGCCGGGCTTGCCATGCAGCGATGTGACAGGCTTCAAACTCAAAGAGCCCCAAATGCCCTTTTAATGAAGGAACATATCCTGATGATATAGGGGATTCCTTAATATGATTTAAGGTAGATTCCTTCTTTCCGGGGTGATTTTACGGGGTGCTGGGTTCTTTGGCAATTTGGGGACTGCGGAGCACTTGCCCTCTCTGCGGCGTGCTCGGACCCTTACTTGGAGGTTCATGGTACTTGTTATCCAAATAGGGTTTAGGGTCTAGGGTTTAGGGTTGAGGGATATGATAGACGGCCATAGAGGTTCCCTGACGAACTTGGCGTACCTGAGGCGGGTGGCCTGTGTGGACATTTCGGTGGACCCGTACCTGTAAAAGTTGGGGTGTTGTGGTCATCTGTAGGTCCCAGGTCATCGTTATGGTTAAGGGTTTAGGGTTTAGGGTTTAGGGTTTAAGGTTTAGGCCCCAGGTCCCAGCTGCACCTTAAGCCTCGACCCTAGCGGCCCTAAAGAGGGGTTGACAGGGTTGGGCCTGCATGAGAGCCGACGCGAAGAAGCCTTGACGACGTTCAGGAAGGGCGCCTAAGCCCCAAACCTTAACCTAAACCCTAGACCCTAAACCCTAAACCCTAAACTCCCATAAAGAGGTTTGAAAGACAACCGAGCTCGTCATGTTGCTCATCGATCCTACACGCAACCCCATGCCTTTACAAGCAAGCCTTCTTGTAGCTTTTGAACTGGCAATCTCAACTCGCCGGCCTTCTTTTTTTTGTTGAGGACTATTGCCGGACTCCGCAGCCAGACGTCCGACATGAGTCACCTGTTGAAAAGCTCTGGCTGTCCGTTTAAATCCGGAAGGTTGTTCGCGTGGAGCCTGATTAGGCCGTAGAAGCTTCATGTCGGAAAGAGCCAGGAGACCTCAACAGATTCCAACAGGGTTGGGGCTGAGGATTTAGGGGTTCAAAAGGGTTTAGGGTTTGGACAGGGGGGAGGGGCTTGGCACATCTTAGCATTCTATAGAGTCTGCAGTACACGGCCAACGTGTCGAGGCTTTGTCGATCTCTTCGACATGTGCCACGCAGCTTGGCTTTCCTCAGTTGGAAAGGCCCTCATAGCACACAGCGGCCTGTGATGGCCGGCTCTGCGGTGTAGAGTTATGGGCTTAAAGGAGGTTTTTCTGAACTCCAAACCCTAAACCCTAAACCCTAAACTCCAGGCACTTACCGTAAGATTTAAGGTTCTGGGTGGTCACCCCAAGATCGGACTTATCGGGTACACCTTTGTTGCATCGTCTACTTGGAGGTTCATGGTACTTCTTAGCCAATTAAAAAAGGACTTTATCACTGTACTTATAACCCTATTGGGGCACTCAAGGGGCTTCCCAGTGGGTTATCGTACAGTTCTATTTGGTTAATAAGTGCCCTAAACCCTAAACCCTAAACCCCAACCCCTTAACCATAATAAGTACCCATGAACCTCCAAGTATGCGTCCTGGGCGAGGCCATGACCTACACCATGATGGATGGCCTTGGCCGCCATGCCACTGACAAGGTGGATAGAGACACTATCCAGGCTGGGTTCCTAAACCCTAAACCCTAAACCCTAAACCCTAAACCCTGATCAAGAAACGCTCGGGCCTCCCACGCCGTGCTCTAAGCCCTTGAGGAATAACTTTCCTATCTTTTGGTTCACTTCGTTCGGGCATTCATTACGTTCACTTCATTCATAGAATCTTCATTTCGTTCTGAAATTCATTTCTCTCTTCGTATTATTATTGCTATTATTCTTGTTTGTTATTATTATTTCTGTTATTATTATTAAGAGTTAAGTGAACACAGTTATAAAGAAGTGAGTTCACGAGCGAAGCATGAATTGTGCGAACACGTGCATTCTCTCCGTTCATGCGTTTTTTTGTTATTGTGTGTTCAAGGGCCCCACTTTGAGACTAGATTAATCAGGGACCCTTATCACAGCCTTTTGGTTCCTTGCCCCTGTTTTCTCTCCTCATTCTAGTATTATTCACGCGCGTGCACGTTGTAAACGCTTGTTATGATACTTAAAGTGAAGGTGAAATGACCCCGGAACCCATCCCACCTGTCAGTCTTGCCCATGAATCTAATACTAAAGGCTGGGAGTCATCATCCTATTCTCTTCACGGGGGCGTCGTGAAAATTGCGCCGCTAAAAAACCTGCCTTGATGCGTGAGGATTGACTTGTAAACCCTAAGCCCTGAACCCCAGCGGGACCCTGGCCTCAGTTGAATTTAGGAAACCCTAAACCCTGAACCCTAAAACCCAAAACCCTAAACCCTAAAACCCTAAACCCTAAACCCTAAAACCTAAAACCCTAAACCTAAACCCTAAACCCTAAACCGTTTGCACTTGGACAGGCCTGGTCCAAATCTGGCCTGCCAGCGGCGAAGCTCACGCTGGGCACCTTGTGTCTGATTTTGACCCCAGGGACGCGGCTTAGGGTTTAGGGTTTAGGGTTTAGGGTTTAGGGTTTAGGGTTTAGGGTTTAGGGTTTAGGGTTTAGGGTTTAGGGTTTAGGGCAGTGGGCTGAGGATTGATATGGGGTTGCACAGGCTGGAATGAAGCAGCCTCCTGGTTCAACAAGCTACTTCTCCAATAGGAACTTTTTGATTTTGTTTGGTTCCTTTGGCTCAAATTCTAAAAGTTTAAACGCGCGTTTCCGCAAGCATTGGGGAAGCGTGACAACGTTGGTATACAGCATACAGACTTAGTGACTGAGTCGCGGGAAGAGGCTACACAAAGCACCAGGACGACTTACGCACCCTCGCAAGAATCAGGGAGGACATCCATGGCAGGAAGACTTTCGTTCTTGCCAGTCTGTTCGCTTTTGATGCGTCTGAAGGCTTTAAGCTAGTTTGAAGGCCAGAGTACCTCTAAAGCTCTGCTAAACGCACGCTCGATTCAGGCACAGGAAAGGGCCCCCTACCTGCGGAACGCTGTGACGCTGTGTCAGATATCTTGTGTGCATTGCAAAACTAACCAAGCCCTCCTGACCGCGGCATCTTTCTGACGCTTTTGTGCATCTGAAGCCAGCAAAAAAACAGAGCTCCCCAAAGCAAAGTCCTGAATCCAAAGCCGTCTGAGGTATCCCGTTCTTCGGGGCGACTTGAGCGGCAACAGTGGGCTTCAAGGTATTTACAGGACACCGGATTGGAGATATGTGGAGGACCCCAAAATAATCCCCAAAATACTAAAATCCTGTCTAAAAGAGCCCCAAAAAGGGTACCCCCTATTGTCGGAAACATCCATATTGGCGTCAAGAATCTGTGTGTATGGGCAGGTGCCGGGCTGAGGTGGGGAAGCTGGAGGTTTGCCCAAACAGTCCTCCTCAATCCCCGAAATCCAGTCCAAAACCAGGGAATGGAATCAGAGAATAGCCCTCAAGCTGTCTTGGAGTCCTCGTTATGATCTTATGACTTCTACTCCTCATCCTTCCGACCCCCGAATCCCTTCGAAGTCGCCTGAACCTACAGGCTGTATCCCCACACCAAGCCTCCCTCAGATCGCGCGTTTAGGGTTTAGGGTTTAGGGTTTAGGGTTTAGGGTTTAGGGTTTAGGGTTTAGGGTTAGGGCTTAGAGGTGAAAGCCGGCAGCGACCCCCGGACCTTTGCCGAGCTCGTCGCCAAGGCGCCTTCAGGTTCGGGGTTTACTGAGTACTTGGAGGTCCATGGGTAGTTAGAAGTGGGGTTATCTGCATGGACTATAGTAGAAGCTAAAAAAAGGTTTGGTCGATGGCAGGCTTTGTTAAGCCAAGAGGGCCATTCCGTGCTACAAGAGTTGCTTAAAGAAGCTCCTACAGTAGAAGTGGCTGATTTTTTTTGAAAACCAAGAAGTAGCTACCTGTCTAAAACTATTTATTCTTGTTAGCCTTTCAACCCAGGCAACGCTTTTTCGCAATTTTTCTGAGTCCTATCAACTTCAACAGGCATATTGAGGGTCTTAAGTAGGTTCTAAGTAGGGTTATAAGTAGGGTATATATATATAAATGAAAACTGGCGAGAACCCAGGTGAAAAAGCATGTTTATACAACCCCACTTACAACTATCCCTAAACTCTGAACCCCAAGCATCTTGCAGTGTGGCTTTGCTGCTTGGCAAAAAACCCTAAACCTAAAACGTACGTGTAAATACCCATGAACCTTCAAGCACATGTTCATTGAAACCTTCGGCCTGCAAGTGGAAGATCGACTTTTTAGGGCTTAAGGTTAGGGATGCAGACACAATGGCCGAAGTCCTTGCTCATCTGCGACAGTGGAGAGTGTGGGCTGAGACCCTGATGCTGAATCCGCGAAAACAGTCGTCCTCTGTGGCTTACACTAGAGTAACCTAGACCCCAAATCCTAAACCCTAAACCCTAAACCCCTAAACCCCTGAACCCTTGGGTTCATGAATCGGAATACCCAGCTCTCAAGCTTTGTCGGCCTGCACTCGGGAAGCAGGTAACCGTCTTTCTGCATGCGATTAAAGAACTGTTCAAGCGCACGCAAGCTGAGCATAGCATTGTACAGGAAAAGGCCTTAAGTGTCATAGGTCTTTCAAGACCAGTGCCGGCTCTTTATATCTGTCCAATGACGACATTTTCGGGAGTGACAAGTACGACTTAGTCGTTAAACGGCCGTACTCGCCTCCAGCTATTGTCTTTCAAAGTTGCCCTTTGCCAGTCGTGGATCCACAAGTTGTGTGGAATTTATACTGCCAACGCCACAGACAGCGAAGGCGGTGATCTCTTAGTTTTCTGCAGTCAATTGATAATTCACTTCTTCGCTAAGGATCTCTTGCGTTCTTCTCGCATGGGACGTCCGATGACATCACCCCTAAACCCCTAAACCCCTAAATCCCTAAATCCCTAAACCCCAAAATAACCCCTAAATAACCCCTAAACAACCCCTAAACCCCTAAAACCCTAAATCCCTAAACCCCTAAATAACCCCTAAACAACCCCTAAACAACCCCTAAACCCCTAAAACCCTAAACCCTGCAACTCCAGGAGCCGAAGCTGCTGCAAGACCCAACCATCGACGTCTCAGAGGCCCACGGGGAAGGTGGGTGTTCAGGGATGCCCTCTTTGAGGGTTTAGGGTTAGGGTTTGGGGTTTAGGGTTTAGGGTTTAGGGTTTAGGGTTTAGGGTTTAGGGCTACTTGGAGGTTCATGGGTAGCTATAGGTAGAGGGTTTCGAGTTTAGGGTTTAGGGTTTAGGGCTACTTGGAGGTTGAGGGGTAGTTATAAGTAGGGTAAAAGTTCCCCGAAATCACGTTGTAGCCAGTTTGAACTATAGCTACCCTACTTCTAACCCCACTTATAACTACCCATGAACCTCCCAACAGGGCGTGAATTCCTTGGCACCTTCATCCATGGGTTTTGTGCAACTTCTAAGGTTTCAGGGCTTAGGGTTAATATGTGGGATTTAGGGTTTAATTAGGGGTTCAGGGTCTAGTGTTGGGCGACTGCTTTGTGGAGGCACTTCTTTTTTCTTAGGGGCGAAGGTCCCTGAGCAGAGTCCTTTTGTGTACAGTTTAGATGTATGGGGCAGAGGGATGTTTTTTGGGCTTAGGAGGGTTCGGGGTCTGTTTAGGGAGTTGTTTAGGGTTTTGAGCGCCCTGGGAGGCAGTCTTTATGTGCACAGATTAGTTGTTAGTTACTCTGTTGCTGTTTTTGGCGGCACCGGGCGTCTCCCAACCGTTGTTTCGGCGCACGATTGTTTAAAGCACACGCGCAATTACGTCACGAGACCACGCACGTGAGCAAACCCTGCGCCCCACGTGAGCTCCGGGGTTGTTGGCAAGAACCGATGATGGGTTTCCAGGGTTTAGGGTTTAGGGTTTAGGGTTTAGGGTTTAGGGTTTAGGGTTTAGGGTTTAGGACTACACAGGGCCCAAGTATACGTTAGCATAATGCCAGTGCCAAGGGGTCCATGAAGTATACGCGCCTCGACAACCCGAACACCACAGACCCGACACTGCTCAAGCTGCAGTCTAAGCCTCTGCTGGGGCTTAGCTGTGGGCGCTGTGCGTAACGCAAAGCGCAGGATGCATTTGTTTGTGGAACCCTAAACCCTAACCCCTAAACCCTAGGGTTCTGAAGGTTGTACACAGAATCCCCTCTTCAGTTGCCCCGTGGAGCTTTGCTAGACTGGTGGCAAAAAAACCCTAAACCCTAAACCCTAAACCCCAAACCCTAAACCCCCTGGGTGGAGCTGTGAGCGAAGCGGCTTGTCTCCAGCTCAGGATGGCTACTTCTTCGCGAACGGGTACTCACTGGCCGAGTGGCTCCGACGGCAGTACTTCAGGGTTTAGGGTTTAGGGTTTAGGGTTTAGGGTTTAGGGTTTAGGTTTAGGGTTTAGGGTTTAAGGTTTAGGGAGGGTGTTTGCTTAGGATGAAGAGGGCGGGGAGGGGCCTTGGGATTTCTTTACGGTTTGGGCTTTGAAGTTTTACGGCGCATAGGGGTCGAAGATGGTCGAAGGTTCAGGGCTTGGGGCTTTTTAGGGGTCGTTTGGGGCTTCAGGGTTGCGTTGCTGTTTACGATGTCGCTGTTGGATTTCAGAATGTCATGATGTGCTAGAGGGCTTAGGGTTCACGTAGGACGACCACTTTATCGGCTGGTGGCACCCTTAGCCCTACATGTCATTAACTCTAAACAGCGCGTCCGAAGTGTCTGCTAGGCAAACCCCTAAACCCTAAACCCTAAACCCTAAAACCTAAAGACCCTCTGCTGTGCCAGACATTTCATCCCTAAGCACCGGAAATCCTAAAGACCCACACAAACCTTACAATTCCCATCCAAGACAGCCCCAGGAAAGTGAGCTTAGCCGAAAAGGAGGGCCTTGCGCCATGGTCTGCATCCATTGTGCTGCTTCAGGGTTGAGTGGTTCAGGGCTGTCTCGGGAAGCTGTCTAAGACTTGGGGGACGCTTGGGGGGCTGTTTAAGATTTGGGGGATGCTTGGGGGGCTATGTTGCGGGCATGATGATTCGGCGGTGGGTACGTGCGTCACCTTCATGACACTTTCTAGGCCAAGGGGCCTTGACTGATTTCTCATCACCACCTCGTGAACAGAGGCTGGCGTCATGATTTGGGAGCTGGGGCAGGCTGGGTACGTCGGAAGGGTCGTGGCGACTCTGTCAGGGTGTAGCTAGCCAAAACTGTGTGCTTTGAGGCGTTTAGGTATGGAGAGCGCTCAAAATCACCAGCGCAATCAAGAAACCCGCAACTGTTCGCATCCCCCATGGCCTTGAGAGCTACCTGGGACTACCACAGAGACGCTTTGCATCTTATTCCTCTTCGGTTCCTACAGAATGGAATCTAGGCCCTAGAACATGGTATCTCAGTTTCTGAGTCCATATATCCCGGATGCATCCTGATGCAGGATGTGATGGATGATCGCGGCAGCCTGCTTTGGTCACTGGGCCCGGCTGTCATTCCCAATCACTTTACTGCAATGCTCGCTTCTACGGAAGTACAGGAGAATGCCACAAGACCTTCTAGAGAGTGGGGTTAGGATGCGGCACCTTTGGCTTTCACTGCATTGCCCTGGTGCATAGAGAAGCCTGCCAGTGGACCGAAGGTGTTCTAACAGTCCTAAGCAGTTAACCCCGGAGTGCTTTAGAGAACAGCAAGCAGACATGTTTCCGAACGCAGGGCAGGATCCACGGCTTAAAGGGTTTTCAAATGAAGGGCGTTCGGGTAGGGGTTCGCAAACGTCCAAATGTTCATGTACCTGTATGTAAGGCAGATTTGGGACGCTGCACGGCGAGCGCAGAACAAGGACAGCAAGTGACCTTCTTTGGGCTCCGAAGTGGGTGGGCGAGGCTGTAGTAACTCTGACTGTAAGTGACCTGGTACCGCCACAAGAACCCTTGCTGAGGAAGTGTGCCGATGCGTACCTGCCTGCTAAGGCTGCTAAGACGTATAGGCTTGGCTCTTGAGTGCCCAGAAAGTCCTGTGCCCTATGCCCACTTTCAGCCCCTGCGCAGGGCATTTTCCATGGCCTCTTCGGCATCGCGCTGACGGAGGATCACATGTTCGGTTCCTTGGTGCTACACCCTTAAGCCACGGGAGGAAACGTGTTGCTTTGGCAAAGGGGATGAGGGATTGGGAGGGGCTATTCAAAATGAGCAGCTTTCCGACCGGCACGATGGGATGAACTGAAAAGGAGTGGGTTTAAACTTGCTGGCAGTCCACTGCCGTATAGTATAGTGAGCCTGCTGAGATGAAGTGAGGGCTGTGCCAGTTTCACTGTATTGGGTCGTGCGGGACTTGGTCACGAGCTTGAAGATTGCAAGCACAAGCGGCGCTGAGGCCTACTCACTTTTCTGACGGGAGGCTGCACCTTGCTTTGCTGATGTGTCTTGAAATGGCTGTGAGTACCCTACAGTCATCAATTTCATGCTGCAGATGAGGCTTTCTGTAAGCAAAAAGCTACATGCAAGAAACGGTTCGAGAGTTGCAGACACAGCCATGTTGACGGCACTTTGATGAGGAGGGTCGGAGAGAGAGAGAGAGAGAGAGAGAGAGAGAGAGACAGAGAGAGAGAGAGAGAGAGACGGGAGAGAGAGAGAGACAGAGAGAGAGAGAGAGAGAGAGCGAGAGAGCGAGAGGGAGAGCGAGAGAGAGAGCGAGAGAGAGAGAGCGAGAGCGAGAGCGAGAGCGAGAGCGAGAGCGAGAGCGAGAGCGAGAGCGAGAGAGAGAGCGCGGTGCCCAGGGTCTTGGGCTTAAGGATTTGGGGCTTGATGCCCGCATAATTTACCGCATGACTTTGCAACATGTTATAGTGCCAGAGTTCACGTACATTCCACATCCTAAACCCTTAAACCCGGATTGGACCCCCAACCTGGAATTAGAGGAGGAGAGTCTTTCAGTGGCCCTCCGTGCTTGAGCCAAAGTCGAGAGACTTGCAGCCGCTGGTGGCAGGCTACTACCTTGTCAAGACGCTTGCCCGCGCTGCTCGCCCGGCGAACAACAGCCACAAGAAGAAGGCAGGGAGCCACCCAATCCCCTTCATATTGAACACCCCCTGCCCTAAAAAACAAAAACTACCATTATAGTTATATTAGAGTATAGGGGGGGGGGGGGGGTACTTAATATGAGGTTGAAGGCGGGGGAGGGGGGGGTTCAATATTAGGGGGAGGGGATTGGAATCTGGGATGTGGGGGTTTACGATCATCAGGGACCCTTAATAGGATTCCCTCCAAATAAGGTACCCCCTACTATCGTAAGCCCCCAATGTGCAGCGCGAAGAAGCGTGGATTTGCTGTCCAAGGCCCGAAAGCCAGCAACAAAAGACCAAAGCCACAGTTTGGGAATTTCAGGCAACGGTGTGCCCCTGCTACCAAATCAAGGTTGGGATCTTCCCCCTTATGCTAAAAGTCCTCAATCGGGATTAGAATAGGGGGTACCATAATCCCTACCGAGTAAGGACTGTTAGTACAAGGGGGAACATCCCAAGTTATAGCTACCCTAAACCCTGAACCCTAAACCCTATAAGCCCTAAACCCAAATTTGGGGCCAGACTAGGAGTGCATTGCGGGAAGCCTCTAGTAGTGTGTCGGGAATCCTTTGCCAGCCATCGCCGCGTGCATCACTACCCACTGCCACTCGACATGCGATTTAGGGTTTAGGGTTCAGGGTTTCGGGTGTAGGGTTTAGGGTTTAGGGTTTAGGTCGCTATGCCGCTCCTTAGTTTTTTGGGGACGTTCATGGCGCAGGTGGTGCCTTACTGGGTCATCGAAGCGTTTTGTTTGAGCATTCTTGCCGAGAGCAGGCTACTGTAGCTGGGTGTGCGCGACGTAGGTACCTGCTTCTGTTTGTGGATTCGGGGCAATTGTGGACAGCGGATGGCTACCTTACGCCCTCGGCGCTGATGTGCTGGTTAAGGGTTTAGGGTTAAGGGTTCAGGGTTTAGGGTTTAGGGTTTGTGATCATCAGCGCCTGAGGTTCCAGAGCAGTCCAGTGATACGGCGGACGACACCACGGAAACCGAGGAGAAGAAGGAGTCGTAGTTAGCACCGCGTCTGAAACAAGTTTCTGGAGATGGCAATGCATGCTGTTTGCTCCAGTTGTCCCGAACCCTCCATGTGATTCTTTGGAGCTTGATTCTGCAGGGTTGAAAAGGAAGAGTTTAAGATTTAGGGTTTAGGGTTCAAAAAGGGCACGAGAGATCCATGAAGTTCGTCAGCGACCCAGATGAGAGCATGTGATGTAGGGCTCATAGTTTCGAATGGCTGGTCCGCGAACTGTAACCTGAGTCAGAGCTTGCTTGGCCTCCTCCGCTACCTTACACCCTCAACCCTAAACCCTTAAACCCTTAAACCCTAAATCCCAGCTCAATTCGCCATTGTGCTGCATCATGCAGCAAGCATCCTTGCGTCCACCTGAGGCGTGCTGCTTCGCGGCCTCTGGGAGTAGGAGGCGCACCACCTGCCAAGTACGAGAAAATGGAAATCTTCGGACCATGTGCGACATTGACCTGACAAGCCCCCACTTTGCCACTTTGGGGGGGTTTATGATTTAGGGTTTAGGGTTTAGGGTTTAGGGTTTAGGGCGTCTAGTTTAGGGCGACTTTGGAGGATGGTTTGGAAGTCAAGACGATGGTTGTGAGATGGCGAAAAGGGTGTCCTGTTCTGCGGCTTAGGCCACCAAGCAACATCCATCGAAACGACCTCGATCGTGAGTTTGCACACGTTTGCGAGCTGTTTTTCCTGTGTGTTTGCCTAGATGGGCAGCTTATGTGGCCTGTGAAGTACGATCTAGAAGCACCATAAAGTCGGGTGTTGTTTGTGCCTTTCGCCAGCAACGCTCCATACAAATCACACTGCAAGGTTCAAGGCTGACTTCATTTGGTTGACTCAAATAGCCTTAAACCCTGAACCCTAAACCCATTGCCGTGGCTAGACGGGTGGCAAAAAAATCCCATGCCTTCCTGCCCTGCTGCAGTAAGCGCCTGAACCCGATGTCCCACGTTTTACCCTTAGTGATTTCGTGAGGTGAAGCATGATTCAAGCGGAGCTATATTCCTGTTGAGGACCTTCGGGTTTGGGATTTGGGGTCTAGGGAGGATGAGAAGCCTGTTGCAAAGGGAGGAGGAGAAGAGCTCGTGCTCCAGAATTGATTGGACGCACATGCGCCCGCTTTGAATTTCCTGCACCATGCATGGATATGCATGGCCGGTTTAGGAGTAGCTTGGTGGCGTTCTTGTTGCAACGCCAACGGTGCATTGTGCCTCAAGTGGGGCAAATCAGCAACTGACTCCAGCACACATGGCCTAGCTTATCACTCTGCCGGGGCTTTGTTAGAGATTCTTGCGCCACCCAGCTTAAGTTTCATGACCTGGGGCCTTTGTTACTGCGACGCGGGCCAGCGTCAGAATATCGCCGACCTCAAAACACACACAAAAGCCGAAGCACTCTGGAACCCTGACGTGTCAAGCCCTACAACCTCCATCAGCCCCCCAAAATCCCCAAATTTTCTTCTCGGCCCCCTGATTCTGCCATGACCGCTCTGGAACGATGCCCGGGAGTCTTGACTTTGATTGTGCTTTGGTCCCAGGGGGCTACTGTTTGCTTAAGAACCCCCAAAAAGTAAAAGATAATAATCCCTAGATTGCCCTTATAAGGAAGAATATCTTTTATTATTTGGGGCTTCTTACACAAGTAGTAGGGGGGGGCAGACATCCTCCAGGTCCATGAACTGACTCACACATCTTTGTGGCAGCTTGGCTTAGTGGATACTGCTCGGGCTCAAAGATGCTTGGTTCAGCTCAGATGCCAGAGGAAAGGAAGTCCACGGCTGTGTGAGCGATGCCGCCGGCAGCGACCAAGCCCTTCGTAGCCATACAGCCCTAAACCCTAAACCCTAAACCGTGGCAAGC